ACTGACTACCAGTATTAAAAACCTCTAAAATTACAACAGCAAAACAACAGAAAGGAAACAATCAGAGACAGCTAATCAGCTCTCAACAAACGATTCCCCCAGGTACTAACAAGCCATGCCAAAAAACTGCCAGGCCATCAAATGGTAATCAAGGTGGTCAGTTGAAACATTCACACCTAGCTCTAACAGACAAGAGTTCTTTGTCCCACCCTGATCATTCCACAGATATATAAACCCAATTTTCCTAATTCCAACAGACCTCACAACCTCTGAGGACGCTTGCCATAGATGCGGGCGAAACGTCAGGAGAGAATGCCTCTAGAACATGGCCAATATAGCCCGAAAAAACCTACAACAGCTCATTGATTCCAGCCATGAAAGCCTCCAACAATACAATACATGTAATAAAAATAATAATATTAACAGAGAAAAATAATAAATAATTTGACTTGAGTATAAGCCAAGGGGGACTTTTTCAGCCTAAAAAAGGACTGAAAAACTAGGCTTATCCTCGAGCATATACAGTAAGTAAAATTCTAGAACAACGTGCACTTTTTATAACACTGGCCAACACATATTTTGATGCCTCAAATGTTAGACCCGTTTCTGGGTATATTTGATCTGCAGATTCCAAAAAAAAAAAAAAAAAAAAAAGGCACCGGTTTCCCCCTATAGCCTTTAGTTTTTGAGATACAGAACACATGTCATCTACCACTCTTTACTCTGTTTGGCCATAAAACCATCAGTGTTTAAATTAACCATTTAAGCATGAAGGAAATGTATTCATGTTCTTAAAAGTATATGAAATAAAAATCTAATTATTTCACACCAAAATTTAAATTTAAATTTTAAAAAATGCAACCATATACAAGAAACTAAAGGCGATGCAATCAGCCCAATGTAATTTGTTGAATCAGCACCCCAAATAACTCCAGTATCAGGCCTAAAGACCAAGACATGAAGATATATATTTTTGTTGAGCTATGTAGTCCTTGGAATAGAAGATGGTCTCCTGTGGAAATACTTTGTATTTTGAAAATATGACACTAGATTTCTATATTGTTTTGAGCCTAGATATCTCAGGATGATGGTCCTCTTCTCATTACTCTGTTCTCACAGTTACATCAGTCCCCAAATAATGCACAGTACTAAAGTATGTTATGGTTCTGATACCCACTATCACCTTAGTCTCTGCTTGAGAAAATAATTTCCCTCCAGTTTGACCGGAGCGCTCAGTCAGTCCTGATTAGCAGAATTGTCCCTCTCCAAAGGGCTGCCTTTTGTGAATCATGAATGGCACCTGGCTCATAATTAGGAAGTATCTCCAGGCAAGTAGCATCAGAAATACAGCAGGCAGAACCCAAAGAGAGCAGGCGATTCTTACTTTTCCACTTAATATTTAATTTATAACCATGTAGGATGCTTCTGTTTTCTACAAGGCAGACAATTTTGATTTCCTTTCACCAGCTTTGCTGTCTCAAATACAGATTCCACATCTGCATTGCTGCACCATTCATAAGTAAGGGAGTGGATATCTCAATATCTACACATTTGAATTATTTGATTTTGGCATTTGTTCTGGAACATTGCTTCCACTAGTCTTCACTATGCTCAAGTTGTTTGCCTTTGCTTATCGTCGTTAATCCCATCTAAATTATTTCCTCTTTCATGGTTATATTCCCCATAATAATTCCCTGTCCTCCTTATTCCTCAGACAGATAGTCTCAGCTTCCCTCCCTCCCTCCTAACAGATTTATCATCTCCCTGTAAGCTGGCTGTTCAATTTTATGGCAATTATCTGATGTTCATTGGCCTAAATCTGCCTGTCAGTTCTAGGGAAAACATACAGTAGAAGATGACTGGGAGACCACAACAGCAAGTAGGTGGATGTTAAAGCACATCGAAAAACACTGAGTGAAATATATAGCTATAATGAGCTATTATGACAGTTCCGAGAAAAATATGGTACCAGTAAAAGCTGTCCTTCCAATTATCCCTTTTAGATCTTTTATTTCTCTCTTATATTTCTGCAAGACTTCTTTTAATGCAGGATCTAGCACGACTGGGAAACTGATTTGACAGTCCAATAACAGATTGGTTTATTATTTATTTATTTATTTATTTATTTATTTATTTAGAGCATTTGTCTCCCATCCTTCTCAACCCCCGGAGGGCGACTCAGGATGGCTTACAATTGGCAGTCATTAGATTCTGACAAAGAAACAGTTAAAGCACAACAGTTAACATAAACAGGTCAACAGCAGTAAAATTAATTAAAATGCAATAAAAATACATTAAAAATATTGGCTCTTAAAATATTAACACAACCAAGTCTGAGTCTGCAAATCCAAATCATGGTCCAGAGTTCCAGTCCAAGGTTTCTTAATTGACAATTCTCATACGTCATTACAGTTGTTGCTCAGCCAGTTGCCCAAATGCTTGATCCCAAAGCCAAGACTTGTGTTTCTTCCTGAAGGAGAGGAGAGAAGGAGTCGCCCTGATTTCAGTGGGGAGTGCATTCCACAGATGGGAGGCCACCATCAAGAAGGCCCTGTCTTTCATCCCCACCAATCACGCTTGCAAGGGTGGCGGGGTTGAGAGCAGGGCCTCCCCTGATGATTGTAAACTCCAAGGTGGGTCATAGAGGGAGATATGGTTGCCATTTTAGAGTTTAATTTCCTCTTTATTTTTATCCAGGAGGATAACAAAACCCATAAGTCACTTCTTGCCTGGGGATGATGGGACTCCAACACATCTAGGGGTAGTAATGTTGAGAAAACTGCCCTAAAGTATGGAATGTCTTCTTAAAACTTGTTTAGGCTTTGACACTGCTCTGCATCTCTCATCTCTTACTTCCACATTTGCCAAAATGTCAGATGTTCACTGATACTTGTCAAAGATTAAAAGGAGTATTTATTTATTTATTTATTTGCTTACTTGCTTACTGTATTTGTATACCACCTTTCTCAGCCAATCGGCAACTCAGTTTTAATGGAATTGTGTATTTATTTCAATTGGGGAACATAGATACATTTACAAATTAAACAATATCTAATTGACAGTCAGTCAGTCGAGAGAGGAGAATTCTTTTATTAGTAATGGTTTGATTATCTCAGAACAAATTCAGAACATTTTCCTCCACAACTTAATCACTGTGTGTTCTGTCTTCATAATCAAGAAATATTAGTCATATGTTTTATATAGAAGCTGGCTATTCCAAATTCAAACCGTGTTATTTAACGTGCTCACATGTCTTACCTTAATCCTGTAATGCATTTTGTTGTCTATCTGTGTTTTATGTGACACATCTGCAGTGTTTGCAACAAAGATGCAGGGAAGAATGGAAGAAGCCTAGGAACTAAGGAATGCAGAGTTACTAAAGCGGTCCAGAACATTTGTTTTGTTGGTCCTTGGTGGCCAAGCAGTAAAGTGTCCTCCACCTACTCCAGATGTTTTAATAACTTCAACAAAATTCACACTCGCTTGGACAAACGTCTACTCTTGTGTACATAAAAATTGTGAGGGTTCTTTGCTCCAAATGTGTTGTTATGGGTTGCTGTAGGTTTTTTGGGCTATATGGCCATGTTCTAGAAGCATTCTCTCCTGATGTTTTGCCTGTATCTATGGCAAGCATCCTCAGAGGTTGTTATGTGTTGCTATGGGTTAGATTTCACTTGAAAGAAATATGCCAAGACACACAGCAACTAAAGTTACCAGGCATCTTTATACAAGTACCTAACAAATCTGCCCGTGTATATAGGCTCTAAGCTATAACATCATAAATCACCCGAAAAGGCCCCGGCGCCTTTTCCGCATACCAGAGCTCCCTTGTTCCTACCTCGGGGCAATTGACTTTTATGGTGGGTTCATATGTCCTTGCAGTATCCTGCCCTCCCTTTTGGCCTTTGGACTTGGTCGTTTAGCGTGAGTGAGAGTTCATGACAACATGTCATGCACACAAGTGCTCTTTTGTACACACATTCTAGTCATATAGAGGCAGTCCCCAAGTTGCAAACATCTGACTTACCAACAACTCATAGTTAAGAACGGGAGTGAGTCAACAGAAAGTGAGAGAACTCTACTTCTCAGGAGAAAATTGACTCCTGAAAAAATTATCTACCCCTAAGAAGGGAAATTCACTTCTGAAAGAAGTACCTGTTCTGACTTCCAAACAAATTCAACTTAAGAACAAACCTACAGAACCTATCTTGGGGGCTGCCTGCTTTCTTCATCCACCACACTGTCATGCACACTCCCTTCCCTATATCCCGGAAGGAAAATGTTTTCCTACTTTAGGACTGGAAAAGGAGACCTTGTTGAATGCAGATGCCACCATGGTTTGATGTAAAAAGTCAGCAGCTAACTACAATTTTTGGTGGGGAACGGAGATAATACAAGGTTGGGTCTTGGGTATCTATTATTGATGCTAGCCTTGTGTGTTTATTATTGTGGTCTGAAGTCCAATCTGTTTTTAAAGGGGTAATGAGATCAATTTTCATTGTCAGAAATTTTAGGAGTCTTGTTTGACAAAATACACAGTAGGAAGAAGCAAGAGGTGTGGTTAAAGGAGGAAGGGTGGGATGATTTGAGGGGGCAAAGAAAGAAACATTGTGGTTAGAATAAAAACAAGTGGTGCTAAATGAAACGGATTTTTCTCACCCACAAAGACCCTGCTGTGGCAAAATCTAGAATAGCCTTTTCTGTTACCTATGTCATAGTGTTTATTAGTGATATAATGCTTGAAAGTACTGCTTGTGTTCCCATTTCATTTATATATAAGTTTCTACAAGTGTGAATGGAAAGAGGACTGCTTTCTTGGTTTTTTTTTATCATGGCAAAGCCCATCAGTAGAAACAGAAATCTAGGTAATCTGGTGATCTTGGAAAAGGGCATAAACCATCCCATACAACTTTTGGGGTATTCTTGGGTTTGAACAGCGTTGATGTGTGACATTCCTAAAATATGAAATACAGTTTAGTGTGTATTGCTTTTTCTTGCAGTGCCTCCAAAGCCATTACATCTGCAGAACTCACAGTCATCCATTGCCCACCAGTCCCCTAGGCATAAAGCTTTATATCCCACGAAGTCAAGAATGGAGCAAGTTACTCCTACCTCTTCTTGTGTGTCAAAAGAAAAAAGTAGTAAAGTGTCTGATCTCATCAGTCATTTTGAAGGAGGCAGGTAAACATGTTTCATTTTTATTTCTAGGTTACAGGTTAATAATAGATCAAGTGGTCATGAATGACGGAATGGTCTGTGTTCCCTTTTTACCACAGCATATAGGGAGCTGTTACAATGTTTGTTCTAATAAGATTTTGGTGAAAAAAAATTATTTATATATTTGTATACCGCCCTTCTCAACCCTTAGGCGACTCAAAATGTTATCTTAATTGAAATTGGACCCCTCTTTTCTGTATGAAAACAAAAACCCAGTGTTCAGTTTGTACAGTATCTGTCTAGCCCAATACCGAAGTTTGTATGGAAATTCAATTTTATTGTCTATGTCATTCAGAAGGAAAATTGATATTTTTGTCCATTTTGTGCAATTAATATCATTGCAGTTTTATATCAGCAAAAGTACCCCCCCCCCCAAATAACCCTGCTAATTTTAGGAACACTATTGTAATTGTCTCCCCCCCCCCCCACTTGCCCCTTGAGCTGGAAAGATCTAAAGCAGTGGTTCCCAACCTGTGGTCTGTGCACCACTAGTGGTCACCAAGAACAAAAATATGGTCAGTGGCCTCACTATTACTACACTGTTGCCGCAAAACCATGTGGAAACTAGAATGACTGGTCTCATAAAACCCTCTTATAGTGCTGAGGCAACGGGGTTGTTGGGAGGGGAGAGGCTGACTACCTATGAAAGATTACTGCTACCACATCAGCTCTAGATTATTAAATATGGTTTTCTGTGGGCAGGCAGATGGTGACTACTGGATCTCATAGGTTCTGTATCAGAAACTAGATCTGATGTGGTCTATTCAATGCAATTTTCAGAATCAGCACCCAAAATATCCAAACCGAATCTAAAGTTGACCAAGAACAAATTCGCAATCCTTTTGGTACTAATATTAAAGAGTGGTCCTTGGACAAAGTGGTCCTTGTTCAAGTGATCCCTGGTCAAAAAAAAATTGGGAACCACTAATCTAAAGCATCAGCTTCTGTTGCCTCACTTTGATCTGTATAAATAGGAACAAATTGGCTGGTTTTAACTATGATTTATTTTAAGGAGCCAGCTTAAAGATACAATTTCTGATCCTGGCTTGTTCAGATAAATCATAACACAAGCCGTAATTCCCAATTGGAAGAAATGATACTTTTTTGAAAATGGAAGCAGGAAGTAGAAGGTTCATGTAACACTAAATACACACATAGGGTGAACCCCATTTTATCGCAGTGTGAAAGCCAGCCCAGTATTGGAACCTCAGCCTGTCACACATTGTTTTGGGATCAAAAATCCTGGATTTGGAACCATTGTAGAAAGTCCAAATCCACATCTCCCATACAAAGCAAATATATGACAGCATAATACAATAACACCACCCGCCCCCCATTTGCCTACTCACTTGCCCCCCACTTGCTCTCTCACCCACACCCCCTGCTCACCATCCCTTGAGTGTCCACCCTACCCACTTTGGTTTGGGCACTCTATCTCTAAAAGGTTTGCCATCCCTTCAGTATAATTTACAATATGATGGCCATACCAACAGGACTATGTGGTTTCATTTAACCACATCCAAAAATATTCCTCTCTAGGCATTTTCTAAATCTAGGTTCTTGTAGGTTTTTTCGGGCTATAGGGCCAGACTAGAATGTGTGTACAAGAGAGCACTTGTGTGCATGACATGTTGTCATGAACTCTCACTCACGCTAAACAACCAAGTCTAAAGGCCAAAAGGGAGGGCAGGATACTGCAAGGACATATGAATCCACCATAAAAGTAAATTGCCCCGAGGTAGGAGCAAGGGAGCTCTGGTATGTGGAAAAGGTGCCAGGGCCTCACTACCTCTGAGGATGCTTGCCATAGATGCAGGCGAAACGTCAGAGAAATGCCTCTAGAACATGGCCCTATAGCCCGAAAAAACCTACAAGAACCTAGTGATTCCAGCCATGAAAGCCTTCGACAATACATTTTCTAAATCATTAAACTATGGTATTCTTGGGCTCGAGGTCCTTCATTTCAATAGGGTTCACTACAAGTAGTCCCCAAGTTACAAACATCTGACTTACAAACAACTCATACTTAAGAACAAGGGTGAGACAACAGGGAGCGAGAGAAATCGATCCCTAGGAAGCACAATTCACCCCTGAAAGACTTATTGTGGCATAAACATGTTTCCAATGAGGCTGACTCACTTAACCTTGTTTCCACAATTAGCCATTTTAAAAAAATCCAATGGTTATAGGGACAAAAGGTGAGGTGAAATCTCCTAAACAGACAACAAAACAAACAGCACAGCAGGATTAACCCTTTCCTATGCTATCCACAGCCAATATATAGTTGGGTGGAGTTACTTTAAAAATGTGCCTGTTCCGACTTACAGACTAATTTAACTAAGAACAAACCTACAGAACCTATCTTGTTTGTAACTTGGGGGCTGCCCGTATTATCCACAGCTTTGCATATCCATCCCCTATACAGGGATCATACTGTATCTGATACAACACACAATCTAAACGAATGGACGTGTCAGCTGTTGATGGCAAAGACACAAGGGTAATATCCTGGTAGCACTATTGTTTTTTATAAAACTATAACAAGTGTTTTTCCTTGCCAGGAAACTTTCTGAGATAGGTAGCAAGTCCATGTTGCATAGAGTTTCTTTAATTAACAAACCTTTTTTTAAAAAAAAGATGGAAATAAAATAAAATATTTAAGGATGTATGTCCAGCTGTATTTTTTGGAAGAAGAAAATGGAAGTTAAAGAGTGTACAAGGAGAGGGAATCTCAGGGGTATGGGTGGAAGTAATACTTAAAATATGTAAGAGGATGGGGATAATCTGCAGGGGGATAATTTTGCTCTTCAGAATTATTTTGTAAAAGAGCTTTACACATCAGCAGCTGATGCTACAGGTACTTTTATTTGCGGAATTACAGCTCACAAATTACAGCTAAAGAAGTTTTGTTCTCTTATTTGCTATGGAGGGAAGGATCCTAGCTTATTCAGCTGTTTCTGCTGGCTGGAGGAACTAAGCGGGAACCATGAGCAGCTCTCACAATTGTGAAATATTATTACTGTTATTATATTTATTTATACCCTGCTTTTTCTCTTCACAAAGGAGACTCAAAGTGGGTTATTATAGGACACTCTTTATGTTGATAATATTTCACATGGAGTTCAAAGAATCATGTTGACTAGTGTAAACACAGAATCTTTTACACACACACAGTGGTTCCCAACCTGTGGTCCGTGGATCACCGGTGCTCCACAAGAACTAAAATATGGTGGTCCACGATCTCACCATTACTACACTGTTGCCTCGAAAACATGTGGCAACGAGAGCAACCTGTCGCATGTAATCCTCTTACAGTGCCGAGGCAATTGGGATGTCAGGAGGGGAGAGGCTGACTACCCACAAACGTTTACTACTACCACATCAGCTCTAGAGTATTAAATATGGTTTTCTGTGGATGAGCAGATGGCGACTACTGGATGGCATATGTTCTGCATCAGAAACTAGAGTTGATGTGGTCTATCCAATGCAGTTTTCTGAATCAGCACCCCAAATAACCAAACCAAATCTAAAGTTGACCAAAAACTGATTCGTAACCTTTTGATACTAATGTTGGACAGTGGTCCCTGGTCAAAATGGTCCCTGGTCAATTGGTCAAAACAGGCTGGAAACCACTGATACAGATATAGATATAGATACACACACACACACACATGCTGAAAAGCAATATTTCCCATCAATTTCAGTCGTTTTTCTAGTATTCAAAACTTGTGCCTCTGTGATATATCAAAAATTAGTGAACTACATTATTGTGGTACTTATTGTGAGGCAGTTGTTATTTTTATAGAGCAGGAGTATGTTTTTTTTTTTTACTGCATAGGTGTATGTATACTAGAATCATAGAATTGTAAGAGACCACAAAAGTCATTCACTCAAATCCCACAACTTGCAGGAATATGCACTCTTCCTGTGATTATGGTAAAACTAATATTTATACCAGGAACTGTGTGGTCACATGTTTTAGACAGGGGAACAGTATATATTAATGTGTAAGTTGACCTTGTTTATGAATCAAAAGCAGATCTTGAAGCCAAAATTATAGACTTTGAAATAACCCCTGGATAAATCAAGAGTCATTCTGCAGAGAAGGGGAAGCAGCAATGCCAACTCAGGGGTACAGGTGTCACTGGCTGCCACTGCCATTGTGCCACCCAGGCATTCAAAAAGGTCAGAACTGGTGCCACAGCAGAGATAATAGAGGAGGTCAGTGCTTCTTTTAGGTTATCCCAGGACAGATGAAACTCTCCTCTTTTGCCATTGTTCCATTTTTGATAGGGGTTAAAATAAAGTACTCATTTTGACCAGGTTGATTGGGTCGATTTTTGACTAACATTTCTAAACATATGCATTAATACACATGGTAATTATTAGTGGAGAAGACACCTGAACTATCCAATACTCCTTTTTTCTAAGGTAGGCAGTGAGGCAAGTGGGGGACATGGGAAAGATTCATCCCCCATTTTGCTCTAATAACTGTACAGCCATCTCTCTCCTCACACATATTTCTTCTTCATATATATTTTGCAAAGACCTAGATTTAAATAAACATGTATTCTGCTTTTAGCTTTGGTAGATTAGGTAGGGAAGTCTGGAAGAACTTCCTCACTGTAAGAAGTGTTTAGTGACTGGATGGCCATCTGTCAGGTGTGCTTTGAATACAATTTTCCTGCTTCTTGGTGGGGGTTGGACTGGATGGCCCATGAGGTCTCTTCCAACTCTATGATTCTATGATAGCAGAAGACATTGACTGCAGTACATTCATATCAGTAGTATATGGAGTATGCTCTATCCAGTTATGCCTCAAAAGTGTGTATAGGATTTAGTCATTGTAAGCCTCTGACTTTCCTTTACTAAACACTTCTTTCTTTTGTTGGCAAAAAGATAAATAACTATATTTAAATCCAGCTCCAGTAAACATTATTGTTTATTAGCTTTAAGTGTCTGTATTTTTTTTCTTTTTTAGCTCATCCATTACTAGTGAGTTGAAGAAAGAACTCTCTGTTCTAAATGTTTCTAAATCTCAAGGAAAGCATAGATCAGCATCATCACCTCAGCCAAAATTCCTCACCCAGCATCCTCTCCAGAAGCAGGGAAATGGTACGGATCATTCTCAGGATGTACAGAACCGCACAGCCAATGGAGTAGTAGCACAGGGTCAGTTGGACTGCAGGGACGGCACATTATCAATCCATGAGGCCAACGGGGCCATTCAAAATGACAATGCTTCGTCTAACAACAGCATGGTAAATGGGGAAAGAGAAAGCAACTGTATGGACTCATTGCAAAGCACAGCATCTTGTAAAACACAAATGATCAATAGCTGCTGCCGGACCCCAAGTGTGAATACATTTCCATCTGGAAAAGAAACTGTGGAAATGATTACCAATACAGATGATAAGCAGGTTGAGGAGCACAATAAGCGAGACTCAAGTGTAGAGTCAAAGGTAAGTCGAAAGAAAGAAAAAAATAGAAACAAGTTACCACGTTGTGAATTTGAAACAATTTTAATTTATTTCATTGTAACAATATAATAATAATAATAGTAGTAGTAGTAGTAATAATAATAATACTTTTTAACCCCCCCCCCCCTTCCCCAAAAGGACTCAGGACAGCTTCCTAACATAAAACATAAAATTGGTAAATGTTTAATGCCATCAACTCAACGTTAATTTGAACAACATGCAACAAGATTGGAACAATATGCCACATGTTTCTCTTTTTTGCTATAGTTTCAGTTTATGTGGGTTTTTAAGGAGTTGATATTTTGTTTACATGGTGCAAAACTCACAAAATAACTGCTACAGTAGAGTCTCGCTTATCCAACCTTTGCTCATCCAACGTTCTGTATTATCCACTGCAGTCTGCCCCCAACCCAGATCCACAGCTGTTTCAATACATCATGATATTTTGGTGCTAAATTCGTAAATACATAACATTACTTTTTCTGTCGATTTGTTGTAAATCATGATGCTTGGTGCTTAATTAGTAAAATTATAATGTAATTTGACATTTAATAGGCTTTTCCTTAATCCCTCCTTATTATCCAACATTTTCGCTTATCCAACATTCTGCTGGCCCGTTTATGTTGGATAAGCGAGACTCTACTTTACTTCTATTCAAATAAAACAGGTGATAGGAGGAAGGTATCACAATTAAGCTAAATATGAAAGCAGTGGTTAAGGAGATTACTTGGCAGACTTCCCTACCCAAGAAGATTCCAACTGTCATTCCAGAGACTTCTCGTTTGTTTGGGTACACCATTGTTCATCTGTACATTGTTACTCAGCAGAAATAGCTGGAATGTTTAATGTGTGTCTTTTCCTCAGTACATTATACTGAAGGCCAATCTGCACAGGAAGGACACCCAAATTATGAAATGGGTTTTGGCAGTAATATGCAGGACAAGGCAGAGTCAGGGTGGTGGCACAGTGGTATATATATAGGATGGAAATTGGCAAAGACCTAGAGAAAGTAATAGAGGGAAACAGTTTTGTCTGAGCCTCTCACCTTCTGGATGATGAACTAATGTTGTGCCATGTGGCCTTTGAATTGTACGGTTCCTCTTTCAGACTTACCCTTTGGTTCAGCTGGCTTAAATTAATGGCCTGCTGCCTTATCATTGGGGCTGTTCTCATGAGTCTTTCCTCTGGGTTTAGCTTCCCACTGGGATTTTACACTCCCTTGGAGCTGCTATAAAGTGCAAAGGGCATCTAACAGAAGCTCACAGAACACTGGCACATTCAAGAAGAGAGGAAGTGAAGCACAGAAATGATAAAACAGGTTCAAGTCACAACCCAACATTTAAAGGCCACATAATTCCACCCCCACCCCCCATTGTAGCCAGTGATGAATTCGTGGTGAAATATGATAGCATCTGCAGTTCAGAATATCTGCAGATATTCTGCAGATATCCATAAGTCTGCAGATATCCATAGGCCATGCGTGCATATTCACACTATAATCCTAGTCAGCATTCTTGAATCCTTGACCAGTTACATGCCAGTTTCACCCAGCTATTAAAATGGATTCGAAAGCAAGGAGATGGGACGGAAGCTCATTTGGAATTGAAAAGAAGATGAATGTGCCCAGATAGACTATAAATGTGACATGATCTGCAGATACAAAGGGATGCCCATCCCCCTGGCTTGATTGGTGGATCTTGTTGTAGTCATGAAAAATGCTCTTCCAGTGTCTTTGTTCTGGAAATTCAGAATCTGATCCAGCAGACTAGCATTAATTTACACAGAAGAATAAGAAGTGTGAATCACTTGCTGACAGGATGCAGTTGTACATACAAATAACTTTAAGAAAAGTCCTTAGCTTGCAATAACTCACAAGCACTTCAGAATGTAATATAAAGCCTAAAAAACATTTGCATATGTTGATGTCAGAGAATACCCAGTCCTCTTTACAAGTCTTATAGGAATCTGTTCTCACAGCTATGTGAATGCCATGTCAACATGTTTCAAATGCTTAGCCCAGAAAGCAAAGCCAGGGCAGAATCAGGAGAGGTTCAGCCATTTCAGTAAAATCAAATACATGTAAAATATTTGGCTTATACATGTTTATAAGTAACACATGAAGACGCAATATGCTCTATCTTTTTCATGTTTATACCATGGAAATGCTTGGATTCGTTACAGTTTCTTGTGGGACATTTCTGAATATATCAGAAAAATCAAAGCGTAAGAAAGTGACAGTATTTTTTATATAAAAGGAGGTGAAAATTATTGTTCAGTTTATATTATCCTCCCTTTCATTCATGACTTTTAGACTAGCAGCAGGCTTGCCCAGCCTCCCATTCATGCCATTACTTATTTAGAGTCAAATCAGAAAATAATTGTGATTGCTTACTCTTCAAATTATAATTGCTTTAAAGTACAGCTTCTGATTCAGGTTTGGAGGATAAATGCTAACTAAAGATTGCTGATTCAGATGCCATTGTAAACTATAGGTTAAAAAGAAACAGTGTACATACTGTTAAACCCATTTCTTTAAAACCAGTTTTCAAAAACCTACCAGAACTTTAAAAAGGCATTTGCTTGCTTATGGAAGAACACCATGAAGAGGTAGGCATTCCTGGGTTGTTGTAGGTTTTTCGGGCTATATGGCTATGTTCTGGAAGCATTCTCTCCTGATGTTTCACCTGCACCTATGACAGGCATCCTCAGAGGTTGTGAGGTAGGCATTCCCATTGAATGTGACTGTAAGAGATCTCTTGACAGTGTCAGGTCCTAAGAAAAATTCATACTAGAAAATATTCGTGCCTCCACATAGCCAAGATCTGGATTGTACGGGCTTTATTGGTCACATCCAGTACTTGCATTTTTCCAAGAAACAAGCTGGTAGAGAGCTGTCATAACAAGGTAGTTGTGTGCTCCCTGTAATCAAGTGCAGGTCTTGAATCCTTTGAAGTTCCCACGTAACCTTCAAAGGCAGTCCATGTAGACCATCATCCTGTAATCTAAATGGAATGTAGCTAAAGTAGATTAAACATCTCTAGAAACTGTCATAGTTTGCAAGCCAGTTTTAATTAATCATATATATTTCCAGGCTGTTTGGCACCTTTGTCAGTTTGTTCAACCTCGTCAAATTAATCAATGATGTTAGATAATGTTTTAGAATTCCAAATTTGTTAGAAAGGAGAAATAGCTCTTGTTGATATAGGGATACAGGTGGCAATAAGTTCTAAATCCTGACAGCTCTTTTAGTGATTTCATTTTAACACGTCATTGATCAAGAAATTTACAAGGAATTCCTTGCACTACCTTCTGAATTTGACCCATCAAGAAAGAACAGAATCACTGTAAATCAATGTCCCCAAGTCCCATCCCGGTGATGTGATATTGAGTCCTGCTTACCTGTTCAGCAGAACACAAGGAATATATTCCTTGCAAATATCATTTAAAAAGCACCAAAGCAGTTTCTAATGCAATAATCTGTAGGTATCAAACTCATTTTCAACAAGAGCCACATTAACCTTATGATTGCCTTCAAAGGGACATTGAATCTATAGATGGAGTAACTATACACACACACACACACACACACACACACATTGTGGTGGGCACTCTTTAGTTTTTACCCAGATTGGTTCCCCAGGTGTTCTTGAATGACAGCTAAAATGACATGGTGGACTGGATTCAGTCCATGAGTCTTGACTTTGACACATGTGCCATAATATATCTTGAAACTAAACTGAGATGGTTGAAAAAAATCTTCTTTATTCCATCTATTATGCTGTACCACTAGGGTTTTCATTTCTACACATCGTTTAAGGTAAAGGTAAAGGTTTCCCCTTGACATTAAGTCTAGTCATGTCTGACTCTGGGGGGTGTTGCTCATCTCCATTTCTAAGTTGAAGAGCTGCCATTGTCTGTAGATGCCTTCAAGGTCATGTGGCTTGCATGACTGCATCGAGCACTGTTACCTTCCCATTGAAGTGGTACCTATTGATCTACTCATATTTGCATGTTTTCAAACTGCTAGGTTGGCAGAAGCTAGGGCTAACAGTGGGAGCTCACCCCTCAATTTGCTTTAAATGTGCAAATTTTTTTTACTATCTTGATTTTATGTTTGATGCACACATATTCCCATTTTAGGATTTAGTCTCTTTTAAATGCAACCTGAATTTACTGTACATAGAGACACAAGCCTGTGTAGTGCCACATAATTAAAGACAGTGGCTAGAACACAGCCATACGGCCCAGAAACACTCCAGTGATTCCAGCCATGAAAGCCTTCAACAAAACCGTGGCTTAATACCTTGTTCCTCCCAACATTTGTGAACCAAAAATGAGAGCCATGGGTTATCTTAAATTACAGGTATTTTTATTGCAACTCTTTAGTTCACTTACTTGGAGTGGAAAAGAAATGGGGCTCAAGATCCATATCTCTATGAGTTCCACCTCTGGTTTCCTAGAACTTTGCTTGGAATGGAGGAAAAGAGAATTAGTGTTTTGATATATGTTGAGAAACATGTTCAATTCACTTATAATGTCTTTATTGTAAAAATAATGCTGTATGTATTTCTAGGAGACAAACGAACAGAAGTGTTACAAGATTGCTAATGAGCTTTTGCACACAGAGAGAGCATATGTTAGCAGACTTGCTCTCTTGGATCAGGTAAGAATGGAATTTTTCTTATTCGAAAAACATTATTTTTCAACAATATAGAATGAAATCTTACCTTTGGCATGGAAGGCTTGTTTGATCACAGTCTCTTTTTAAGTTAACATGTGGCTAGCACTGAGGGAATCTTACTTATCAACTGTAGTTGTTAATTTTTCCACCTTTTTGCAAGCTTTTCTGAATTTTCTGAATTATGAAGATACCTTCCCCACCACTTCTGTACCACTTCCTCTTGTGGTTCATGTGCAGCATCTCCTGTGCCGCAATGGCTTGGCCCACAGCCGCCAAGAATAGTTTCTCCTGTGCCATCTTCCCCTTTGTGCAACTTTCCCTCATGGCCAGTTTCAGGAACAACAAATTGGTGACACTGATTATTAAAGCCATTATGGATTTGCAACACAGAAATAAAAAAGCAGCCCATTTCAGCATCTCACTTCAAATGATGACTAATGGCTGAATAACATGCCTCGGAATTACTCATATCCTCTGCTCGAATGATGGAACTCATTAAGGTTCTACCAGCAAAAAACCTGTATTTGCCATTTAAATGTCACACAACCCACAAACTCCAATTTTGCTCTTCTGAATCAGTCCTCTCTTTTCTTCTCTCTCTCTCTCGCAATAAAACATTTCTTTTCCTAATGTCTGTAGATTTTTGCTAGAAGTCTTTTTCATCTCCAATGACTGCACAGTTAATAACTCCCTTTCTAGGTCATTGGATCATGAATTCAGTTTAGTTCAAAGATAATATTTTTTTTATTTAACAAGCCTGTGTGTGTGTGTGTGAAAGAAAAAGAGAGAGAACATTAACTTTTGAATTTTCTCTCTGAATGTAAAATATAAAGAGCTTAGCATAACTATCTTTCTTGGAGTACAAACTTGACATATCTTATTAGCTTTAAATTGCTTGCTGCTCAAGTTCTTTTCTCTGTTACAACTTACTACATCTGTTAGCTGCACCACTGTATGCAATTGCTTAAGATTTTATGAGAAGCAATTTGTTAGTAAGTCAAACAAGTATTCCTTTGCATTAAAGCAATGGTTCTTAACCTGTGGGTCGCGGACCACGAGTGGGCCGTGAGGACAAAAATGTAGTCTGTGAGCCTCTTTCCATTTTATTTTATTTTATTTTATTTTATTTTATTTTATTTCCACTTCTTTTGTGCCGCCTGCCACTCCTTCCCTGTCACTGACTATGGCATATGTTCTGTATCAGAAACTAGAGCTGATGTGGTTTATCCAATGCAATTTTCTGAATCAGCACCCCAAACCGAATCTAAAGTTGACCAAAAACTGATTTGTAACCCTTTTGGTACTAATGTTGGAGCATGGTCCCTAGTCAAAGTGGTCCCTGGTCAAAGTTGTCCCTGGTCAAAAAAAGGATGGGAATACTGCATTAAAGTAATAGGAATACTAGACTCTGAAGCCAAAGCTGGCATGATCAAATCAAATATATTGTTAATCCTTTTGAGCAATTTGTCTTCCTTGGGCCTCCTGATCAAGCCTCTAATTTCTGGTAGATAATAAACCACTCTTCCATGTCACTATTTCCTTCAAGGTGGTAGCCTTCATCTTTCTTCAGCTCTTCCCATTTTTATTCCAGATGTTTAGCAACGTTGTCACACTACTTTTAATCACCTGCCTCTATTCCCCCCCCCCCCCTTTTTGGCTTTTCAGTCTCTATTCCTCAGCCTTGCCTTGATCATTTCTTATTAGTAGTTTCAACTTGATTTTCCCATTGATGTTTTTCTCTAGCTCATCATCTTCAATCATCTTTTCTTTCTATCCCTTTTTAATCTTGAATTGTCATCTGGTAACTTCAGCTTTGGAGGTTGGGGGTCAAGAAAGCTCCATGGGATCTCAAAAGAGGCCAGAAGAGTGATCGTCATATAACAAAATAGCTACTCCTATGTACCACCTGACAGGTGTGACTGGCCCTTTTGGAGCATTTTCTCGTCACTTCATGGTTCTTTTTGAGGTTATTGTGGGGAGAGATGCAGTGCCTGAAGTTGGTCACCCACAAAACCCAGTTTGTCACAGTTGGGTCATAATAAAGAAATGTGGCATGTTTAAAAGCAGAAGATGAAATGGAGGAATCAATGTTTATTTGTGTAGTGAGAGATGATGAGTTTCCTATTCCATTTGTGCCAGGAAGTTTCCTTTATGCAGAACGATTTATAGCAAGTAGCAGCATCTCAATTCAAAGTATCATAACCAAAGTATAATAGCTTCAGTTTAGTCTTTTTAAACATTTTTCCATTCCATTTGTCTTTTTGGCCATTCATTATATCTGCAGAATTCTGTCCTGCACCACATTTCAGATGAGCCTGTCTTCTACGAATCAGCTTTCTTCGTGATACCACCAAAAGAAATGAAAAATTGTTTTGCTATCTCAGAAGCTTTAAATTAACTGTAGTTTAGGGGGCTATCTAATTGGACTTTGACTACAATCCAGCATTTCCTTAGTGTAGTGTAAATGTGGGCAGAACTATGCAACCATGTAGAATAGCAATTCATACCTATAACTGGTTGACATTGTATAATCACAGTGAGCATAGATAATGCATCATGCTGCTATACGCACAACTTTGTTTCTGACCCTATCAGCAGAATATGTATGTTGTTCTATGTGAAATAAATTGTCCCACATGTGTTGCATGAAATATGCATGTATATGTGATAGAATGCAACTATAATATCAATAACCTTACCTATGACTGGCTTGTTTGTCGTTGGCCTGTTCCATCAAATACCTACATGCAGGAGTCGTTCTGAATTAGCTCATGAAAGGTCATGATCATGGAGGACTTAAGTGTAACAAAGGAATGGATTTTGTTTGCTACAGTTTAGCTATAAAAATCTTGAAATACATGATATGTTTTCTTTTCCTTTGTTTTTGTGGAGAGTATGCTTTCTGACTGAACTCTTCCCTTGCAGGTGTTTTATTGTAAACTGATGGAAGAAACTAACAGGGGGTCATTTCCTGCTGAAGTTGTTAACAAAATCTTCTCCAATATTTCATCCATAAATCAATTCCATAGTCAGTTCTTGCTGCCAGAGCTTGAGAAAAGGATGCAAGAATGGTAAGCTTTGTTGCAAATTAATGGAGTGAAGTATTTTATGAAGAAGATAGTGGTGAATATCACCTGTTCTAAGGATTCTGTTTTAAAGGGGAAACACATACCTTGTAGTATTGAGACCCACAATATTCATTTAGATTTGATAAACTTATATTAATTACTCTAGAAAAGACTGAAAAGATACTATATTCACACAGGGTTTTTTTAAAATGGGATTTAAAAGCGATTTCATCTATTCCAAATAGATATAGGAGGAAGTAGTATGTATTGTTCATATTACTGAAGGAAAATTTATCATCGTTTGTTGTCCTGAAAGGATACTTTACAAGAACATGTATAGGCTGAAACACAAATAGGATACCTTTTTCTTAATAGTGAGGTTGTAGGGTTACCCATACAGAGGTTGCCCATAAATTAAAAAATATTCATAGGGATTTGGGACACTGTTTTGGTTGCCTTTTTGTTACATCATTTAAGCTGCATTATGAAATTAAAGTGAAATATTGAATAAGTTCTTCCTTTATAATTTCTCTGGTCTGGTTATAAATAACATACTACTTTACCTTTCCATTTTTATCTTATTCCTTTTTTGTGTGCTTTTAAGAAAAGCCCTTGTGTAAGACTTTGTGTAGTGTGAGGAGTGGTATTTTGGGATTAATCTCTTTTGCATTATTTTACTGTATAACTAAAATAGTTGAAAGGGTGTTAATAAAAAGTCATATTTAAGAAAAAAAGTCTTAAAATCTGAAGAAGCTAAAAATTGGATGATATGTTAAGAGCTTTTTTATATCTTAACAACTGTGTTTAGTATATATTTATTTATTATTTATTTACCATTTGTATACCCCACTCTTCTCACCCTGAAGGGGACTCAGAGCAGCTTACAAGTAGGCACAATTTGCTGCTGCATAAACATACAGTAGAGTCTCACTTATCAAACATAAATGGGCTGGCAGAACAATGTTGGACAATAAGGAGGGATTAAGGAAAAGCCTATTAAATGACAAATGATGTTATGGTTTTACAAATTAAGCACCAAAACATCATGTTTTACAACAAATCAACAGAAAAAGTAGTTCAATACATGGTAATGTTTATGTAGTAATTACTGTATTTACAAATTTAGCAACAAAACTTTGCAATGTATTGAAACATTGACTACAGCAGACTGCATTGGATAATATATAACATTGAATGAGCGAAGGTTGGGTAACCGAGACTCTACTGTACATACAATAAAACAAAACCTATACGTTAAAGCCAAAAAGTTAAAAACATTTCAACCTTAAAACCAATTATTAAAACCATGCAATCCAAAAGCATACTCACGGTTTGCTTTTCGCGGACTCACTGTTTCGTGTTTTCTTTCAAAAAATGAATTTAAGTAGCGAGGGAACACTGAGTGAAAGAGAGAGATAGAGGCACCTCGTTGCCGCCTGGGCCTCTTGCCGAAGCTGCTTCTTCCCTCTGGGGGCGACTCTTCTTCCCTCCTCACCCTCTTTACCTTCATCTCCCTCCTCCTCGTTGCCACCTGGGCCTCTTGCCACCGCTTTTTTTTTTAATAAAATAATCTTTATTTCTTTTCCTAAAAAATACAGCGATAGATAAAGATAGTGCTGGAAACTTTCAAGCCTGCAAAAGTTTCCCGCTCTGTGGGGGGAAGTATAGAGGGGGGGGGGAAGAGGGGGAAAGAGGGGTAATAGTATAGATGTGTTAGAAAATGTCCAAGTTGTCCTTCTTTTTATGTGTGCATTGTGGGAAAAGAAGTTTAGAAATATACAGTGAGGGATAGGGGTGTGTGTGGTTATTGTAGATGTTGTGTTGACTTCCTGGTATCCTCTGGAGAGTTTTTGTCCTGTTCCTTCTTCTTTCTTCCTTTTCCTTCTTTTACATCTTGCTCTCCCCTGTTTCTATATTCACAGTCATATTCCTTTAAGTGATTATTTTCATATTCTTCACTTTTGTTAAGTATGTTGTTACGTGTTTCCAGTCTATTTCCGCCATTGGAGTACCCTTCTTTTTTGCTAATATGTTCGTCAGTTTGTCCATGTTTCTTATATCTAATATTTTTGTTAACCATTCTTCTTCATCTGGGGGATCTTTCTTTTTCCAGTATTTTGCATATGTTATTCTGGCCGCTGTTGTCAAAAGGAATAGAATTTTGTCTTTATTTTTTTCCATTTTTATATTGTGTATTCCTAGTAGGAAAGTTTCTGGTTTTAGGGGTATATTTATCTCTAATATGTTTTGTAACGCTTTTTGTATTATCTTCCAGTATGCTGATGCTTTTGGGCAGGTCCACCATAGGTGGTAGTACGTCCCTTCTTGTTCTCCGCATTTCCAGCATTTTGTATTTGTGTTTTTGTTGAATTTTCCTAATCTGTGTGGTGTGATATACCACCTATGGGCCATCTTAATCCAATTTTCTTTAAGTTCCATTGCCTTTGAATATTTTAATTTCCTATTCCATACTTCTTCCCACTCTTCTTTCTTTATTTCTCTTCCCAGATTTTCCCTCCATTTTTTCATATAATTTTTCCCTTCTTTGTTATTTTCTTCTTCTATGAGTTTCTTATATATTTTGGAAATTAGTTTATTTTCTGATTGCATTATTTTGTCCCAAAAGTTTTTTCCTTCCTCAAATCCTTTTTCTTTGTCATTCTTAAAGTGTTCTTTGATTTGTTCATATTGATACCAGGAGATTCTGTTGTTTATACTTTTTAATTCTTCTTGTGTTTTCATCTTGAATTCTCCTCCTTCCTTTCTTATTATGTCCTTATATCTGGGCCAATCGTACCATCCCGTTACTCTTCTCTGTGATGCTTCTAGCGGAGATAGCCAAGTTGGTGTTTTTTTATAGAATTTATCTTTGTGTCTGTTCCATACTTTAATTAGGGAGGATCGAATGAAGTGGTTTCCGAATTTTTTTTCTTTTTTTTACCTTATCGTATCCAACATATGCGTGCCAACCTAGTCTTAGCCCTTCTCCTTCTATATTTAAAATTTTTTCCTTCTCTAATTTGGTCCAATCTCTTATCCAAATCAGCGTGCATGCATCATGGTATGATTTTATGTCTGGGGTTGCTAGGCCTCCTTTGCTTTTCCCTTCTATCATGTTTTTATAATTTATTCTTTGTTTTTTTCTCTGCCAAATGAACCTCATTATATCTTTTTTCCAATCATTTAATATTTTTTGGTTTCTGATTATAGGTAGATTTTGAAATAGGAATACAAGTTTTGGGAGTATTGACATTTTTATAGTTGCTATCCTACCCAATAAAGATAATTTCATATTTCCCCATTTTTCTAGGTCTTTTTTAATTTTTTTCCATTTTTCGATGTAATTGTTTTCTAGTAGTTGTAGGTTCTTCGCTGTTAAGATTATTCCCAGATATTTTATTTTCTGTGTGATTTGAATGTTCCATTTGTTCCTTAGTTCTTCCTGCTCTTTTTTTGTTATATTTTTTGTTATGGCTTTCGTCTTTTCCAAGTTAATTTTAAATCCTGATACTTCTCCATATTGTTTTATTGTCTTCAACCATTTTTCCAGATTTTTGTTTGGTTCCTCTATTATTCCTATAATATCATCCGCGAATGCCCTGATTTTATAATTGTGTCCTTGGATTCGCGCTCCTTCAATCTCTTTGTCTTCTCTTATTCTATCTAATAATGTCTCGAGAGTCAAAATAAAGATTAGGGGTGAAATGGGGCATCCCTGTCTTGTTCCCTTTTGAATATTGATTGTTTCTGTTTGCTGACCATTTACTATAATTTTTGCTTCCTGTTTGTCATATATTGCACCAATTATGTTTTCAAAGTAGTAGCCGACATCCATTTCTTTTAATAAGATTTTAATAAAATTCCAGTTTACCATGTCAAAGGCTTTTTCAGCATCTATCGCCAGAAACATTACCTTTTCTTGGATGTTTTTCCCATAATATTCTATTAAGTTTACAATCGTTCTGACATTATCTGCTTGTGATCTTTTAGGNGTAATTCTGCCTATAAATACTGGATGCTTTTGGGGTAGTGCTGTGTGCCACATCAGCCATGTTGAAGCTGGGGCACCCTTACCCGGGGTAAGCAATAAATTCTGTGAACATGCAACAGCTGTCTCTGTCTCTTCCTTCTTCGCTGATCTCTCGGAATCTTGGAAAACGGGGATACTCCCGTAACACATCCTCTTTGTCTCCGCCTGGGCTTCTTGCCGCCACTTGAGCCCCGCGATTGAGGAGGCGGTGGAGGCGGTGATGAGGAGGAGGAAAAGGAAGGTAAAGAGGAGGGAAGGGGAGGGTACGTGCCTACTTTGCGGAATTTCACTCATCGTGGGTGGTCCTGGAACGTAACACCTACAATAAGTGAGGGAACACTGTATGACCATTTTTACTTCTTTCTTTTTACAAACAAGATTGTTAGGTACCAAGCATGAAATGAAATCCCATCTTTTAAGTTTTCAGAAAATAAAACATTGCTATGCAAGCAAGTTTATCACCCAAACATCCTGGATTGTGTGACAGGATAATTGATTTCTCTGTTATTCAGTGGACCTGAATGAAAATGTATGCATTTATTTATTTACATTATTTATATCCCACCCGTCTCACCTGGAAGGGGACTCAGAATGGCCTTATATTAGGCAACAGTTTGATGCCATAAAACATCAAACAGACATATAGTAAAAATACACAGAGACATTAAAACTTAAGATTAAAAAACACAAAAACATTAAAACCAATTATTAGCAAGAACCACATAATCCAATATCTTAGTCAAGGGGCCGCTCCAGTCATGATTGCACATATTCCATCTTCCCTTATAGCACTGCATTGTTATCCAAAGCTTTGGTCCCACAGCCAGAAGGTTAGGAAGGAGGGAGCTGATCTAATTTCTCTGGGGAGGGAGATAGCCAAGGGGCCACCACTGAGAAGGCCCTGTCCCTTGTCCCCAGCAACCGCACCTGCGAAGGAGGTGGAATTGAGAGCAGGGGCTCCCCAGATGATCTTAATCTCCAAGATGGTTCATAGAGGGAGATACTTTCGGACAGATAATCTGGGCCAGAACCGTTTGGGGCTTTATAGGCTAAAGGCAGCACCTTGAATTGTGCTCGGTAGCAGACTGGCAGCCAGTGGAGCTGGTGTAACAGGGGGTTTGTGTGAATTTATTCTATATAATGGTTGACTGCTCATTTGCAGGCATACAATCTAAAATAGAACAATTTGATACAAGAGATACAAGCCAAACTATAATTGCAGGAAGGCTTCTGTTTTCAAAAATATATTATCTTAAAGCAGTCATCTGTGACCAGTATATTTAAGAGACTTTGAAGTGGCAGAGCTGTCCTAGAATTTTTTTTATAATGATGGGCAGAAGTTCAAAGAAAAATCTTACTTGTTCAAAGCAGAAGTTTTACAGAAAAAACTTGCCATGACCATGAAGGAGGGGGAACATTAATTCCCTGGTGATATTGACAAGCCAGAAGGCAGCATTTTGTTGCGGTGATTAAACCGTGGTTTGTTAAGAAGAGGCACAGGCAGCCCCACTTCACCTCCACCTCCATGTAACCATAAAACTGGAAGATTTCCAACCAAGTTTTGATTGATACAGTGCTTGAACCTGTATTATCATCAGTTAATCCTCTTATTTTAATAATATTTTACTGAAAAATACAAGCTTCTTGAAAGAAAGTTTAAAGAAAGTCTTTCCCCAGAAAACCATGATTTTTTTTGTAAATCATTCTTGACCACTGCTTTTTCTCTCCACAAGAAGACAGACTCAAAGCGGCTATGGCAGTTGTTCCCAACCTATGGTCCATGGACCACAAGTGGTTCACAAGAATGAAAATATGGTTCGCAACTGCCTCATTACTACACTGTTGCCTCGAAACCACGCAGCAACGAGATCAACTGGTCTCATGAAACCTTCTTATAGTGCTGAGGCAATGGGGATATCGGGAGGAGAGAGACTGACTATCCATGAAAGTGGGTTAACTAGTTGGCTTCTTGGAAGTAAGAGGTTTTCATTTATATCCTTCTGTTAAACAAAAGTTGTCTTTTTCCATTCAGGGACACAAACCCCAGGATTAGTGATATCCTGCAGAAGTTAGCGCCTTTCCTGAAGATGTATGGAGAGTATGTGAAAAATTTTGACAATGCAATGGAACTGGTGAAAACATGGACTGAGCGATCACCTCTCTTCAAATCCATTATTCAAGATATTCAGGTAGAGCAGTGGTCCTTAACTTGTGGCCTGAAGACCACCAGTGTGCCATGAGGATAAAAATCTGGTCTGCGAGCTTCCTTCCTCTTTATTTTGCTTTATTGTATTGTATTGTATTGTATTGTATTTGCACTGCCTGCCACTTTTTCCCTGTTTAGGGCCAATGGAACACCTCTGGATAGTATCAGTAGTACAGTTTTAAAATTATTCCACGAAGTCGTTGGCCAAAAAAGAGAGAGAATATTATTAAATAATTTTGCCAGATATCTTGCACTAGATGTATATTTATGAAGCTTCAGTATTAACAAATGCTTGTTGATTTCTAGAAACAGAAAGTCTGTGGAAACCTGACCTTGCAGCATCACATGCTGGAACCAGTACAACGCATCCCACGATACGAGATGCTTCTGAAGGACTACCTAAGAAAGTTGCCTCAGGACTCTTTAGACTGGAAAGATGCTGAAAGTAAATATATTGTTGTTGTTGTTCTTGTTACTCTTATTATTTTTATCCCACTTTTCCTCTCTAAAAATACACCCAAAGTGGCTAACACTAAAAACTATAAAACATTTGAGCAACTTATAAGCTCAGTGCCTCAAAAGAACTGTAACAAAGAAACTCCTGACAATCAGAGCAATGCTGGACTGGGAGTTTTTATGAGCCAAACTTTCTAAATATTTCAGTATATAGGGAGCACACAATCCCTCTGTTGCACCAGCTCTACTGGTTGCCAATTTGCTAACTGAGAATAATTCAAAGTGCTAGCTTTGGCCTATAAATCCCTGAATGGCCCCAGACCAGCTTACCTGTCTGAACACATCTCCCTCTGTGAACCATCATGGAGGTTAAAATCTTCTGGGGAGGCCCTGCTTTTGCTCCCACCACGTTCGCAGATGCAACTGGGGGGGGGGGCAGATGAGAGACAGGACCTTCTCAGTGGTGGCCTCTTGGCTGTGGAACTCCCTCCTAGTGGCAGGCCTGTAGCCAGGATTTCGTTTGGGGGGGGGGCTGAATTTTTTTCAGGGGGTTCAGGGGGGCAGAGTTTCGGGGGGGGGGCTGAGTCTGAGTGAAAGAGGGTCTAGCCTAGTAAACCTTTTGTATCATTACCCCAATACCCCCATGCATATGGGATATATTGAGTATGGTGATCAGATCATGATATGAATAAACATAACAGTTTAAATAATGCACTAGTAAGGCCTTTTCGCGAACCACCATGAGAATTTCCACATGCCTGCCTAGTGGGATTCGATCAGCCCCTTCCCTGCTGTCATTTTGCAAACAAGTGAAAACTTGGCTTTGGGAGCAAGTATTTGGCCCAGCATTATCTGTGCAATACAGTTGGAATTGACCCTGAATATGATTATTTGACTATCTGGCTTTGGAACTATGCTCAATAGTAGTCTAACGTTTACATATGTTGCTCTAATGTTGTTTTAAATTGTTGTTTAATTGCTTTTGTGGTTGTTGTTTGGGCAGGGAATAATTCCAATTATGTAAGTCGCCTGAGTCTCCTTCATTTACCCAAATATTTAATAAATAAATAAATATTTGGGTGGGATATAGGGTGTTGGTCTAGATGGAAAATTGGTGTGGCAGGGCTCATTTTGTATACTTAGAAAATATTAAAAGTCATCATATAAAATATGAAGTAAGTCAACATTTGAGATAGCGGTTTGTATTTTGTAGCTCTAGCAAATTGTTTGTTCCTGACTATTGTCTTCCAGAATCCCTGGAAATAATATCGACAGCAGCAAGTCACTCAAATAGTGCCATACGGAAAATGGTGAGTGGTTTTTCTGCTTTGCATACTCTTAATTATTGTTTTTATTTTAGTGAAAAAGGCAATTCTATCAAGGCATTAGGTAGGAAGTTTTGCAACAATTAAGCCATTATAGAGCCAGTGTAGTGCAGTGGTTGGACCTTTGAATTACATCTCCACTTGGCCATAGAAACCAACTGGGGACCTTGGGGAAGTCAGTTTACCTGTCCAATCGCATCTCCCTTTATGAACCACAAAAACTAAGATTTTCTGGGGAGGCCTTCTCTCAGTCCCACCACCGTCACAGGTGCGTTTGGCGGGGACAAGAGAGAGGGCCTTCTCAGTGATTGTCCCCTGGCTATGGAACTCCTTTCCTGGTGAGATTAGATCAGCCCCCTCCTCCTGTCCATCAGAAAGATGGTAAGGTCCTGGCTGTTGGATTAAGCCTTTGGGACAGTGCAATGAGGCAATAGTGGGTACTTTGAGGTGGTTTAAAACAGCTTATTTTAAAGTAGATATAAGTGATTTTAATGTTTATATGTATTTATGGTTTTATGGCCCAGCGTTGAATGTTTGCCATATATATGTATGTTGTTCTCTTCCCTGAGTCCCGTGTGGGGTGAGAAAAGTGGAATATAAATGTTTCAAATAAATAAATAAAGTCACACTCTCTCAGCCTCAGAGGAAGGCAGTGGCAAGCCCTTTGTGAATGAATCTTGCCAAGAAAACCCTGTGATAGAATCACTTTCGAATGGCCACAAGTTAGAAATAACTCAAAGGCAGACAACAAAAGTAAATTTTCTATATCCTTTGGATTAGAAATCATTGAAAGAGATTCGCAGGATCCCTACTTTAGTTTGAACCCACCAGACTAAATCTGCTATTCCAGTTATTGTGTCCAGTATTTATTTTTCACTGAATAGATGTTCAGTGTTCTTCTTTTATGCTACTTAAAGATGATATTAAAAGATTGAAATATTTTACTACCAAAAGTGTTCTGCTGCAGAAATTATCCAAAATTCTTATCTACCATCACAGAAAATAGCTCTTTTTTAATAGAAATGCTTTAGGTCTTTAAACGTGTTCATGCTTTAATTATTGTTATTAAGACATTTGCTCAGCCTGCATTAATGTACTCATTTCTTTTAATGGAAAGGAAAACTTGAAGAAGTTGTTAGAGGTTTATGAAATGTTGGGAGAAGAAGAAGATATAGTCAACCCTTCAAATGAACTCATAAAAGAAGGGCAGATCCTAAAACTTGCTGCTCGGAATACATCTGCCCAAGAAAGATACCTTTTTTTAGTAAGTATCTTTCTCTGGTATCTTCTTTCTTGTGTTCATTCATAACCTGTCTGTTTTTCCCATCTTTTTTGTGATAATCTATTTTAGTATTTATTTATTTATCTATCATGTCAGAGGCAAATTGAGGGTACAGTTGTAATGTATTTAAAAAGACAAACAAAGTTAAAAACTTGGCATTATACTAAATATCCTTTGACCAGTAGCTGGCCACTTCGAGTGCCTCTGGTGTCGCTGTAAGAAGGTCCATTATTGTGCATGTGGCAGGGCTCAGACTGCATTGTAGTAGGTGGTCTGCAGTTTGCTTCTCTCCACACTTGCATGTTGTGGACTCCACTTTCTAGCCCTGCTTCTTAAGGTTGGCTCTGCATGTTGTGGTGCCAGAGCGCAGTCTGTTCATCACCTTCCAAGTCGTCCAGTCTTTTGTGTGCCCAGGAGGGTGTCTCTCTAAATCTATTTTAGTGATTTAGTGTAGATCTGAAATTAAGGTGGCTCCTTGAAAATCAATGTAAATGTGCACAAGCTCCTCTGCTTCCTGGTAAAGTTTCCCTTGGTGTCTTTAAACACCGTTTATTGTAACAACTGCTAAGTGTGTGTATTCAATGCTTCTTAACCAGGACATGTAAACTACTTGGAAATCGCCTTTGTAGCATGAATCACAGTGATGTAGCTACTTTCAGTGCAGATGTAACTTTAAACCATGCTTATGGCTGATAGGAAAAGGGAGAATTTTTGTTGTCATTTGTGAACTGAGGTTTCCAGAGATTAAATGTTGCATTCTCCTAAACATCCTGTGCCATAGCCATACAGGACTCTCTTTGTAAACTTCCATCATTCATTCTGAAAGCAAAAAGAATCAGAAAGGGAACTTAAATTATGTTTATTTTGCAAAACAACTATATACTTGTAAAGCTTAAAAATATTGTGTTGTTGAAGGCTTTCATGTTTGGAATCACTGGGTTACTGTGAGTTTTCTGGGTTGTATGGCCATGTTCCAGAAGCATTCTCTCTTGATGTTTTGCCCTCATCTATGGCAGGCATCCCAGAGGTTGTGAGGTCTGTTGCAAATTACGCAAGTGGGGTTTATATATCTGTGGAATGTCCAGGATGGGAGGAAGAACTCCTGTCTGTTTGAGGCAAGTGTGAATGTTGCAATTAAACACCTTGATTAGCATTCAATGGCTTTTCAACTTCAAATGCTGGACCACTCTAACAACCACCATGTCAAACTACACAGAGAAGCCATTGAAATCCACAAACATTTGGACAATTTCAACAGAAAGAAAGGAAAATGAACAAAATCTGGCTGCCAGTATTTTAAAAACTCAAAAGTCAGGACAGTAAATAAAGAGCAACACTTAAAAAAACAGGGGAATTCCATACAAGGATCAATCAGGTTCAGCTAATACCTCCCAACAAAGGATTCCCTTAGGCAGCAACCAGCCAGGCTTTGAAGCTGCAAGGCCATTCAGTGCTAATCAAGATGGCCAATTGCAACATTCACACTTGCCTCAAGCAGACAAGAGTTCTTTCTCACACCCTGGACATTCCACAGATATATAAACCTCACTTGCCTAGTTTCTAACAGACCTCACAACCTCTGAGGATGCCTGCCATAGATGTGAGTGAAACATCAGGAGATAATGCTTCTGGAACATAGCCATAAAGCTCGGAAAATTCACACTAACCCACTTAAAACATTGTTTTTCCAATGATGTCTTCCTCTATCTATTAAATGATGGGTTTTCTGTCCCTTATAAATCAGAAGACACATTTTTGACATTTCTGCTCTGCCACTTTCCTTAATATTCAGTTATTTCTTCTCCATTCCAATGCATATGAAGAATTGTTAAATGATGGGATGATGAAAGTTCACATACGCTCCACAAAGGATTTAGGTGACATGCATGTGGCTTAAACCATCAAAGTAGCCCTGGAGAATCCTTGTGTATGTTTAGTCTGCTGTGAGCCTAATCCCCAATGATTCTCTTTTCAAGACCTGTTCTATTTAGTTTACTCCAGAGATAAGTCTCGAAGCTTCAAATCAGTATAACGGCTGAATCTCAGGACACTTAAATTACCTTAGTGGAATAGTTATGCATCCATGAAATGGCATTTAAATGAGATGCTGGTGATCATTAAGAACTGAATATGTTAATAATTTTAATTCTGACAAGCTTCAACTTCAAACCTGCTTTATATGTAAATCTGATGAGTATGATCAATTCTGAAATGTGTGGCCTTACTGTCTTCCCGGAGAAATCATATTTGAGAGGATATTTAATACAGATTCTCCCTGCTTCTTCCTCTCTCTTTTGATGACAAACGCTGCAAATGTAAGTCATGCTTTTAAGAGAAATTGTAGCTGTCCAAAGTAAATCCCTCATGGGAAATGCTCCATAGAAGTCAATGGCAGCTACAACTTAATTCAAATATAATGCATTGATAGACACATAGTTTCTTCTTGAACAGTTGGCTATAAATCATTCAGCTTTGGGCTATTTTCTGGATCTGATATGATCAGATGTTTCAAAACAAAATGGAAACTGGGGGAAGTTTAGATGGATGGGATTAAAAAAATTAAGTCAGCAGTTTCTGTAAGTTTTTTTCTGGAATACTGCTGGCTTCATCAATGTAAACTAAGTCTATTTTGATGTGCTAGAGAATATGTTACCACATTGCTATTATCCCTTTGTCCTTCTATCAGGTATGTGAGCTGACCTTTCTGTGTTCATTTGCTCTACAAGTGTGTGAAAATTATTATTATTATTACTATTATTATTAATAATAATAATACATTGTTGAAGGCTTTCATGGCTGGAATCACTAGGTTGCTGTGAGTTTTCTGAACTGCATGGACATGTTCCAGAAGCATTCTCTCCTGACATTTCACCCACATCTATGGGAGGCATCCTCAGAATCCTACAAAGGTTTCCCCCAGGCAGCAACCAGCCAGGCATTGAAGCTATAAGGCCATTAAATGCTAATCAAGGTAGCCATTTGCAACATTCACACCTGCCTCAAGCAGACAAGAGTTTTTTCTCTCACCCTGGACATCCCACAGATATATAAACCCCACTTGCCTAGTTTCCAACAGACCTCTGAGGATGCCTGCCATAGATGTGGGCAAAACGTCAGGAGAGAATGTTTCTGAGACATGGCCATACAGCACAGAAAACTCACAGCAACCCAATTTTTTTCATGTCAGGGGCGACTTAAGAAACTGCAAGTCGCTTCTAGTGTGAGAGAATTGGCCATCTGCAAGGATGTTGCCCAGGGGTTGCCTGGATGTTTTGATGTTTTACCATTCTTGTGGGAGGCTTCTCTTATGTCCCCACATAAGGAGCTGGAGCTCACCCGCACTCTCCCCAAATTTGAACCTCCAACCTGTTGGTCTTCAGTCCTGCCAGCACAACCCAATAGTAATAATACTTTATTTATATTCTGCCCTATTTCCCCGAGGGGAAATAAACTGACTTTTAACATAGATGTCTAAGTAAATTGCTGTTCCTAAGAATCCAGACCACCCAGAATGGCAACAATGACAGAAACAACCCTCACTCCCATGTTGCTTCGTTTTTCTGTATTCAGTTACAGAACTCCTAATGCAAAAAGCCTTTGCTGGTCATATGTGAAAAGTCATATCAAGATTTTAAAAATGTGACCCCAAACAGTGATAATATATGTTAAAACAGGCACGGGCAAACTTGGGCCATCTAGGTGTTTTGGACTTCAACTCCCACAATTCCTAACAGCCTCAGGTCCTTTCCTTCCCCCCCCCCCCCAGCTGCTTAAGCTGTTAGGAATTGTGGGAGTTGAAGTCCAGAACACCTGGAGGGCCTGAGTTTACCCGTACCTGAGTCAAAAGATACAATGACTAACAAAGTGTTAGTTTATCACTTTTGAAAATAAAATGTAATTCAGCTTTAAGGGTGTTATAGTCTGATACTTCACAACAAATAGGAATTTATTTATTCTAGTTCCCCCATCCTGCATGCCCATCTTCAGGTTACTGATCTGTGCTTCCTTTTACTCTCTGGGGTAGACATTGCAGGCAGATGTCTGTATTGCTGTAGCATATTTTCACTCCCAGTAAAGTAGCTTTGAGAGGTGATTGCAGAAAAGCAATAGGAGAAGCACACGTCTTTTCTTTGCTTCCAATCAATGTTTTCTCCTCTAAAAGCTTCAAACGCAAGTGGCTTTTTGTTCTTTTCAATAAAGAATGGCATCAGCCATCTAATTGTTTGGGTCTGTGTGTACCATGTGCTTTGTTCTCAAGCTCCTGCTTTGTACAATGGAAAATGGAATATTTTCCCTTGTGACAGTATTCAGTGCGGGATGATTACAGTGGGTGAATATTGTGGGCTGTTTGCGACATGATTCATGATGTCTGATCCAATTTCTACATCATATGTCTCTTTTTATGTTGTGGTTGCATATTTTGGAGCTTCTCTTTTCCAAGATAAACGTACAAGTGCGTGTTACAAGTACACCCAACCTGTCTCTATGGAAACTGATGTCTCTCTGGCTTTCTTTCCTTTTTCCCCCAGTTCAACAATATGTTGCTGTACTGTGTCCCCAGATTTAGCCTAGTTGGATCTAAGTTTACAGTTCGGACAAGAGTCGGCGTTGATGGTATGAAGATTGTGGAAACGCACAATGAGGAATACCCACACACATTCCAAGTGTCTGGGAAAGAACGGACTTTGGAATTACAAGCCAGGTAGGGGAAATCTTTTTTAAAAATTTCAATGCTTAGCATGGTAACACAGTTCAAAGGCATTTGCAGCTTGAGCTAAATTGACTCTGCAGTTTGAATACACTGATTATGTGCCCAACTCTTGACTTCGGTGGACCATAATCATGAGACCAAGAGAAATAGTGTTAAACTGCATTACAGAGTGGCAGTTGTGTGATGATAAACAATGGTTTCAAACTACAAGAAAGGAGATTCCATCTGAACATTAGGAAGAACTTCCTGACTGTGAGAGCTGTTCAGCAGTGGAACTCTCTGCCCTGGAGTGTGGTGGAGGCTCCTTCTTTGGAGGCTTTTAAACAAAGGCTGGATGGCCATCTGTTGGGGGTGCTTTGAATGCAATCCTGCTTCTTGGCAGGGAGTTGGACTGGATGGCCCATGAGGTCTCTTCCAACTCTATGATTCTATGATAACTGCAGCTGAGCTACACGAGAAAAGGTAAAATTAAGGCAGAGAAAGGTGATTATGTGATAGTGGTATTTAGGAACATCTCAGAAGTTTCTTTTGTGGATGATTTATTTATTTATTTATTTATTTACAGTATTTATATACTGCTTTTCTCACCTGGGGGGGGGGGGGGCTCAAAGCAGTTTACACAGAAATAGTGGCAAAATTCAATGCCTTACAAATGTACACCAAATTACAATCTACACCATAACAAAGTATGAAATGAATAGGACAATTCATCATAAGATACAATAAAAGACCTTTAAAACATGAAATATAAGAATTAAAACACCTAATAAAAACATTATGGACATATTCCATATTGGCTTCTTGTTCTGCATTACTTCACTAGTCAAAAGCTTGGTTCCATAGCCATGTCTTTGTTCCCTATGTATGTATGTATGTATGTATGTATGTATGTATTTATGTATTTAAAACATTTACATTTCACCTTTCACACCCCGAAGGGGACTCAGGGCAGAGCACAACATAAAAACTGCAAACATTCAACTCCGGGACATAAATAAATCATACATATACATAAGCATTAAAATCATTCATCTTAACATCAAAATCCACTGTAAAAACCGGAGGGAGGGTGCTGATTTAATCTAACTGGAGAGAGAGTTCCAGAGCTGAGGAGTCACCACTGAGAAGGCCCTGTCTCTCGTCCCCACCAACTGCACTTATGAAGCAGGTGGGACCAGAAGATCTTAACCTCCTAGGATCATAGACCTAAGGAGATCTTATAGTTTCCTGACTCTTGGAAACAGCAAAGCACCCTGAAAGCATAATTCCACAGATACATAAACCCCACTTGCCTAGTTTCCAACTGATCTCACAACCTCTGAGGATGCCTGCCATAAATGTGGATGAAACGTCAGGGGTGAATGCTTATGGAACATGACCATACAGCCCAGAAAACTCACAGCAACCCATCTTGAAACCCTTTGGCTAGTGAAAGAGAAATCCCTTACTTTTGAACTGAAGGAATATGCTGCATGTTAGTTCCTGTTCTTAGCTATAGATCTCAACTTAACATCCCTTCATCATAGTATAATACAGCCCAACTAAAAATATTATTGGTTTCTTATTTTTAGGCCTGTTCCTGAGGTTATTATGCTGATTCATTGCATTGGATAGCCCACATCAGCTCTAAGATATGGTTCTCATGGTTTTCTAAGTTCGAGCAGATGGCAACTGGTATACGTAATATGTTCTGTATCTCAAAAAACTAGAGCTGATAGGCGAAAACTGGTGCCATTTTTGGAATCAGCAGATCACCCAGAAACAGGGCTGACATTTGAGGCACCAAAATGTGTGTTGGGCAGTGTAATAATCCAAATGCAGACCTTACTCTGTCCCATATCCCACCATCCTGGCACACACCTTCTCTGAAGCCCCAAAGATGCCTCATACAGCCATTCCAGGCAGGATCAATAAGGTCTGGCAACATCACCACCACCATCCTGCATGCTGGGATGTAGAGTAATGCCATCTGTGTCTTTTGGAAATCTCAGTACTTATGCAGTAGTTTATCAGAGGGAGGGAAATGTTGCCAGGTGCTTCCCTGATCCTGCCTATTTACATTACAGCATAGAAAGCCTGTATGAAGTGGCTTTGGGGCTTTAAAGTAGTTTGGAAGGGAGGCTTTGGATGTGCTCTGAAAGAACAGGAAATACCAAACCTTTGCAATACCCAACATAGACATCCACACATGCAAGAGGCACTTAGATGTGTTATTGTCATTACCTGGATTCTGGCCATATTCTTTTTACATTTAAATTTATTTCTGTGAAATAATGGTCTGGCAATTTTGATTGCTTACATCATTGTAATTTAATGTGTTGTGAAAATGTTTCCTGTATTTGTCCGTATCTATGAGGAAGTTCTGTAGGAATCTTTCTGGATCTAATGAGCATAAATGAATGTTGATCCTATCAGTCTGATCCTATCAGTCTTCTTCCTATTCCAATTTGGTATATGCTTCATATGTTCTAGGTGTTAATTTTCAGCGTTGCTTCAAAAAATGCATTAGCGTTCCAACAGTGAGCTCCTTTATGGGCTTGTATGTTTGCCTTCTGATTCCATTAGAGTGCACATTAGTGTTTGTGGTTAGTGTAATGCATTTCATTTTATAGAATGCTGCTTCCTGTTGTTCTCATGCAACCGTTACTTCAATTCTGTTGAGGAACTGAGCTTAATGTTTTATTAGATCAATCTGATTAACCATTTAGCTTCTGACATCTGCCTTATGGATCTCAAAAGCACCAATAAAAGGTATTACCATGCCATGTTGCTTGCAACTGGCAGAAATTATTTTTTCCCAACTAGCGTCATTTTGCAAGACTTAAATGCTATCATATAAGAGGAATAATGATAAAAGCAGCGTTGAAGCTGAAAGCTTCCTTTACTCCAAAACTTGAATTTAAGATAGCTTGCAAAAGCAAATCAATATTGCTAAAAAGAAAAGAGAGAAACTGTAAAATCCATTGGCAAAGAAGCAAAAACATTTGATAAAATAAATAAAAGGGAATTTTAAAAAGTACTTTTAAAACAATTATTGAAAAGTCTTCATTTCTAAAAAGGTGCTGGAATAAAGATCAAAAGTGCGGATAGTCAAATACTGGAAATATCACATAGCTCTCAACACACAATGTAAATTTGAGATAATATTTTATCAGAAAGGTAATCATGCAAAATCTTTGAATACAGGAAAGATTTTATTTCTTCTGCTGGATATTGTCAGTATTCTTAGTGTTATATCTTCTGATTCAACTGTCTACAGTATCAATCTAAAATTTTCGTTGCCCTGGGAAATTCGAATCTTAAACAAGTAGCTTGTTAATATTTTCTGAAATTGCTGTTAACAGTGATCTCCAACTGTTTTTTTTTAGTTCTGAACAAGACAAAGAGGAATGGATAAAGGTAAATGTTCTTTCTTATAATCTTTCCAACAACTAACTTAATTGCATAGATTTATTACATTTCCTGTACCTGACTGACATAACTGTCTAGCTGAAATTTGCCTTGCGTTCGTGATAGCTTTATAATTAGACTACTAGAGCTTGTAGCTTAAAAAAATTAAGTACTAGAGTAGTGTTATCTGACTAGCTTCAGTTTCTCAGGGCCCATCCACACAGTGTGAAAATGCGCAACCTCTTGCACTTTTACCTAAGGCGTCCAAACAATGCCTCCGGTAAAAGTGAATTAATTTGAGACAAAGCAGGAAACCCCTGCTATGTCCTGAATTAATTTGACACCTGGAAAAACTCGGGTCTTTCAGAAGACCCAGTTCCTTCCAGGTGCGGGCCCTATGTGGATTTGGCCCGGGGATCACGTCATTGCAACTTATGGGCCCAACCCACAAAGCTGTCTTGGGATTTTAGGGCTCCTGGAATGTGGAAAACCAAAGACAGCCCCACCCCCTCACAAAATCCTTCAAAAAGGGGAAAAAGTAAAAATTACTTACCCAGCCACCTTTAAGTGCTTCTGGCCCCCTCCTGATGCGTAGAATGACACGCCAGGCGAAGGGGGAGAGGGAGGAGGTAAATTGCTCCTCACCTTCCTCTTCTTCTGTCACATCATTTTTATGTGTCAGGAGAGGGCTGGCAGTACTTTAATGGTGGCCTGAAAGTAATTTTTTCCTTTTTTGCCATTTTTTTGTGTCTGGGTGCCCTGCCGGAAGATCCGGCAGGGCATCTAGACACCCCTTTCCCCATAAGCATGGGTTTTGGGGAGAGATGTGGGGACTTTAACCCACACCCAATCAAGTTTCTTAAAGGGCTGTGTGGAGTCGGCCCCATTGACTTCTTTTGATTTGCCTTTAATTGGGTAGATATTTGTACTATTAAAGCTTTATAGCTCTTACCCTTTTTATTCATTCATTCCAGGCTCTCCAGAGTACTATAGATGCCTTTCAGCAGAGGAATGAAACATTCAGAACTGCCATTGCAAAAGAGTATGATGACATGCCTATTGAAGTCTCTGTAAGTTCAAGCCTGAAGCAGAGAACAAGTTGTGCAATCTTGACCGCAGTGTCTCCATTACAGTTCCTCTTCTAAGTTACTTAATTGCAGTTCCTATGGCATATTTGCATTCACATGTTCTCCTATGTAGATGTATATAATACTAGCGATAACATTATGCAATCAATGTACGTAGTACTTTTTACAACATAGTACTTTTTACAAGACCACACTGTTATGTTTTTATAACATAGTACTTTTTATAGCACCACACTGGCAATGAAGATCCTCATAGTTAAAGCAACGGTATTCCCCGTAGTAACCTATTGATGTGAGAGCTGGACCATAAGGAAGGTTAAGTGAAGGAAGATAGATGCTTTTGAACTGTGGTGCTGTATGCTTGTCCACTGTGACCTGCCTCATGTACAGAGGAAGAATTGTTAGAGGCTACAGACAGTGCAAATTGCTGTTGCCTGATTTTGGCCAAAAAATATTTAGCCACTTGTGCTCCTTCTATTTTTATCAGTTTTATAGTCATTTATGCAGTGCTTTTGATACAAAATTAAAAAAAAACCGGTGGTGCTGGAGAAAAATTCTGAGTGCATTGGACCGCAAGAAGATCAAACCAGTCCATACTCCAGGAAATAATGCCTGACTGCTCGCTGGAGGGAAGGATATTAGAGGCAAAGATGAAGTACTTTGGCCTCATAATGAGAAGACAGGAAAGCTTGGAGAAGATAATGATGCTGGGGAAAATTGAAGGAAAAAGGAAGAGGGGCCAACCAAAGGCAAGATGGATGGATGGATGTCATCCTTGAAGTGACTGGCTTGACCCTGAAGGAGCTGGGGGAGGTGACAGCTGACAGGGAGCTTTGGAATGGGCTGGTCCATGAGGTCACAAAGAGGCGGAAGCGACTGAACGAATAAACAACAACAACATAATAAAGATTATAGGCTCCAAAGTGTCTATGATTTACTATGCGCAGTAGAAAGCTAGAGGCCTGAGTTAAAACAATTCTTTTTAAGACAGCTTATCTCGTTTCCATACTAACAAGATAATTGAGGGAGATTAAAACCGTGCAGACAAAATTAAGATTGCTTGTTACATTCTTATTGGTGTTGAATATATTCCTATCACCTACTGTCATTCGTTCTCCATTTTGAGTGCCTTCTCCATTTTAAAACTGTATCTCTATGTTCAGCAATCTTTGGTTCTTTTTCTAATTGGCATTGTGTAAAAGTGAATCCAAAGCACAGGTGCCTAATTCTAGCAGCAGGGGACAGACATCCAGAGAAGATTTTAAAAGATGCATCAGGCAACACAAAAATGTATTTTCTTTCTTTATCAATAATAGTGCTGTGTTTTTGAAGACTGGAAATACATTGTCAGGTTTAGAATTTATTTTTAATTACTTAAAAGTGAAAGTACGTATTTTTCTTTCATTCATGTGCAGATTTTTGCAAGAATTTTAATGAATTCAATTCTCATACAAGCAACCAATGCAATTATCTTAAAATAGTTCCAACTATATCATTTTTCTGGGCTAAACTTGATGCACAGCTGCCTTTGAAAACAATTGACTTGTGTGTAGCTATCTCCATTTGTTCCCCTTTTTTTCATGTCAGGAGCTACTTTTTTTGTGTGCCAGGAGCAACTTGTCAGCTGGAGCTGACAGACAGGAGCTCACCCCACTCCCTGAATTTGAACCATCAACCTTTCAGTCAGCAGTCCTGCCAGCACAAGGGTTTAACCCAGTGTGCTACCGGAGCTCCTGTTCCCTGGCAATGTTAATTAGAACTTACTTGGATCTGGGCATAAACATTTCCTACATGTTTTCACACTTAACCAACCGGACTATGAAGGCACAGTAAACTGAAATGGTAAACATGCTACTGTCATTTTAAGTAGCATCTGCATGTTAATTGTAGGGTCCAAAATGCCATTTAATTTTCAGAACAGCTTGTGTTGTTGTTGATCCTTTTCTGTGATAATAATATGTCAATATTTGCCCTCCTGTCGCTACTTCAGACTGCTGAACTTGGGAAGAGAGCACCAAGATGGATTCGAGACAATGAAGTCACCATGTGCATGAAATGCAAAGAGCCCTTCAATGCGCTGACAAGGAGGAGGCATCACTGCCGAGCATGTGGGCATGTAAGCACCAAGCTACATCTGCTCCTTAGTTCACAATATTGAAGCAGCCAATGCATTCAGAAACTCCATCTGGCGGTGTTTTTTGAAAGGGCTGTTTGGCTGGCGCACAAATACGGAAGCAGAAACCAGAGCTTGAATAACAGGCCCACTGTGTGAACCAAAACTGAGCCCTCTTGAGGACAATTCAGGACTTTTTACATAACAGGGTTCTTTAGCAGTGAATAATTTAGTTCCAGGTTTTTTTTTTTTTGGCTTGAAATAATGACACCACTTGCTTTGCTTTTCTTCCCATAAGTTACTACTAGTATCCGATTCTCCAGGAGGTAAAAGAAGACACAGCTAATTCCAATTCCCTATAAAGGCTATCTCTTTAAGTCTTCACTGCATACAGGGTTCTAATTCAAAGCCCTGCATCCAGGAAATAAGAATACCCCTACTTTGTGATTTTGTTAATAAGTCAAGATAATTTTATTTATTTGTATTTTAAATCTCTTTTAAAATAAATTTATTTTAGATTGTTTGTCCTCAGACCAGACTGACAGAAGAGCATGACATATATGTGTTCACCTCTTTCCCAAAATCAGGAGCGAGAAATTGTTGGCCCTCCTAATGTTTTGGACTAAATGTCCCAAAGTGTGCTGGATGGTGTTGATCAGAGCTGTGGTCTAAAACATATGGAGGGCAAATATTTCCTACTGTTTTTGGCATACTCCTGAAGTTTGGCATACTCCTGTGTATGCTTTCTAGAATCATGATAGACATCCATGTTGCAAAATTTCACTGAATCTCTCTGAATGTATGTGCAGGGATACAAACATAATGTAGCTAAAAAAAGTTAATTTCTTTCATTTTAAGGTGGTTTGCTGGAAATGTTCTGACTACAAAGCTCATCTCGAGTATGATAGCAATAAACTGAACAAGGTTTGTAAAGACTGCTACCACATTATAACAGGGTGTACAGACAGCGAAGAAAAGAAAAAAAGAGGAATCTTGGAGGTATGTTACAGTTATTTCATTGTCATGACATATAGTTGCTAGTTACTTAGAAATGAGTGCTTGCTGGATGCTTTTGTGGCATTGATATTCTGAGCTTTTGGGCTGGAGATGAGTTCACCATTCTTATCATATACTACAAGTGCCAGAAAATAGATGAGGGTCACATTACCATCATCTAGATATCCTTAGAGGCCAAGACAAGAGCACCGTATGTTATTCTCGGCATTGAATGTTTGCCACTGTGTTTTGTTTTGTTGTAAGCCACCCTGAGTCCCTTCAGGGAGATAGGGCGGACTATAAATAAAGTATTATTATTATTATTATTATTATTATTATTATTATTATTATACACAATAAAATTAGTACACAGCAAACAAGATCACTATGCTGGCCCTTGAATTTATCACACTTTGGGTTCTAATGCCTCTATAACATGGCCCTATAGCCCGAAAAAACCTACAAGAACCTACACTTTGGACACTTCCCTACTGTCTAGGACTGTGTGATGTATCAGCAAATAATGTGTGCAGATCCAAGTAGGGTGGCCTTTTGCAGTTCACAGATGGTAATTTTGTCAGCGCCAATTGTTTTTAAGAGCAAACCAAGGTCTGTAGGCACTGTACCCATTGTGCCGATCATCACTGAGGCCCTCTTTACTCGCTTGTGCTTGGATAAGGTCAGCCACCCAGATGGTGACTTGGTCTCCAGCAAAGACATCATCTTGCATTTCTGCAGTTTGGACCTCTTCCAGACACCTAGTTTTATTTGGTGTGGACTCTCCCTGGTTGAAGAAACTATGTAAAGAGCAATGCTATCTGGATAAACTCCCAACTAGTGCCTCCATTAAGGCAAGTTCAGTAATCTTGTATTCATCCCAATTCAGAAGGACATCAGATCTGCAAAACACTGTGACCCATGCTCTTGCAAAGCTCTCAGTAAGCCCATGGCTCATCCAGGACTAAGGCTCATATGTCCCATGTCTTCTCTGACTGCAAATTATGCAGAACAGATTTAGAAGGCTGTGCAACCCAGTATTTATTGCCTTTCTCAAACTCTGGGAGTGTATTTAAGGAAATATAGCACCCTGTTCTCATTGCTCCTGAACCATGTTTTGATTCAGCAACAAGGATGGAAATTCCTCTCGCATTCTGTGATGTGCCTGTTAACAAATTAATGACATTTAGAAAACTTTGCTTTTGCTATGTTGAATTGAAATGGAGTATTTTTCTTATCTCCATACAGATTGAATCAGCAGAAGTGTCAGGAAACAGTGTAATATGTAGTTTTCTCCAATATTTGGAAAAATCCAAAACCTGGCAAAAGGCTTGGTGTGTTATTCCTAAACATGAAGCCCTCGTATTATATATGTATGGTGCACCACAGGTATGTAGGCGGGGGGGGGGGGGGGGGGGATATGCTTGAGAAAACTAGAATACAATAAAATTTCATGCTTTGTGAAGGGCAAGCTAAATAATATTTGAAAACTGGCATACTATATTTTGCAAGTGCCACAGTTCTGCAAATGCCACTGACACAACAAACATGTGGACTTTCTCCTTCCCCTTTCGTCCCTGGGATGCCTAGGTGGTCTGTTAAGTTTCCATATTGCTATAGATATAATATACATTTTATTCATACAGCATCTATCTGCTGGTCATAAGGGAGGTTGAAGAGGCAATCATATTTCATGGTGTAATAGTAGTGCTTTTATCTCTTTTTCTAACCCCCAAAAAGGGGGTGTGATTATTATGTGATGAAAAAAGTTGGTGGCTAGGATTCGTCCGTTTCTGTCTTTAAAAAAAAAACTGTGTTATTTCCGAGATTAAGAGGAGGAAGACCTCAGTGTTTGTTTAAACTCTCTAAGGCAGCGTTTCCCAACCTGAGGGTTGGGACCCCTGGGGGGATGGGGTCACCCAAGACCATCAGAAAACACGAACCACTTTGACAGTAGCTACAACTCCCAAATGATAAAATCAATCCCACCCCAACCGCACCAGTATTCAATTGTGAGCGTATTGGGTATTTGTGCCAGATTTGCTCCAGATCTATAGTCGTTTAGGTTCACAGTGCTCTCCGGAGGTAGATGAACTACATCTCCCCTAAATCACTGTCTATCATTGGTGGGGTTCAAGGGGCTCTTTGATTGTAGGTGAATTATCAATCCCAGCAACTTCAACTCCCAAATGTGAAGATCTATTTTCTCTAAACTTCACCAGTGTTCACGTTTGGGCATATTGAGTATTTGAGCCAAGTTTGGTTCAGATAAATCATTATTTGAATCCATCGTGCTCTCTAGATATAGGTGAACTACTACTCCAAACTCAAGGTCAAAGCCAACCAAACCCTTCCAGTATTTTCTGTTGGTCATGGGAATTCCATGTTTGTAGGCAACTACAGCTTCCAAATGACAAAAGCAACCCCACCGATATTCAAATTTGGGCGTATCAGTATTTGTTCTAAATTTGGTCCAGGGAATGAAAATACATCCTGGATATCAGATATTTACATTACGATTCATAAAATTAACAAAATTACAGTTATGAAGTAGCAACGAAAATAATTTTAGGGTTGGGGGTCACCACAACATGAGGAACTGTATTAAGGGGTCGCTGCATTAGGAAGGTTGAGAAACACTGCTCTAAGTGGAAAGGAAGGAGTGAAAGCAATTCTTCAAACTGTCTCTGGTTTGTTTTTGCTTTGTTTAAAACTACCATAAATCCTGCCTTGAGTCATGAGGAGAGGTGGGTAAGAAATACAATGTATTATTCCTATTATTATCATAATTATTACCTGCTGCAACTACTTGGGGAAAGTAAAAAAAAACATTATGGAACCCAAAAGGACTATTATACAGTAACATACATTCTGTGGGGATAGACTAACTTGCTTTTCTTGAGAGCATCATTAATGCATGGTGTAAATGTTGTGGAATTGGTTAAGAAACGTCAGTCCTCTGCTTTTCACCAGATCCAAAAACATTTCCTTAGCATCTTCTTTTTTAGGTTGCTGAGAGTTTTCTGGGCTGTATGGCCATATTCCAGAAGCATTCTCTCCTGACATTTCACCCCCATCTACGGCAAGCATCCTCAGAGTTTGTGAGGTCTGTTGGAAACTGGGCAAGTGAAGTTTATATATCTGTGGAATGTCCAGGGTGGGAGAAAGAACTCTTGTCTGTTTGAGGCAAGTGTGAATATTGCAGTTGGCGACCTTGATTATCACTGAATGGCCTTGCAGTTTCAAAGCCTGGTTGCTTCCTGACTAGAGGAATCTTTTGTTGGGAGTTGTTAGCTGGCCTCATTGTTTCCTGTCTGCAATTCCCCTATTTTCTGAGTGTTGTTCTTTATTTACTGTTCCTTGATTTGTGCTTGGGCAATGCTCCGTTTGATGGTCCCTATGTAAATGTATTGGATTTTCTTAAGAACATCCCACTAAGAAAATCCAACAAATGCTGCGTACAGCAAAAGACAAGAGGGATCCTCTACTGTTTACCATGCAGCTGTGGACAAGTCTACATAGGAACCAGCAAACGCAGAAATCCTGGACCACTCTAACAACCACTATGTCAGACTATATAGAGAAGCCATTGAAATCCACAAGCATGTGGACAATTTCAACACAAAGGAGGAAACCATGAAACTGAACAAATTCTGGCTACCAGTATTAAAAAACCTCTAAAATCAGGACAGTAAATAACAACCCAACAACGCACCTCCCAACAAAGGCAGGAAGGAGCCAGGCTTTGAAGCTGCAAGGCTATTCAGTGGTAATCAAGGTGGCCAATTGCAACATTCACACTTGCCTCCAATAGACAGGAGTTCTTTCTCCCATCTTGGACATTCCACAGATATATAAACCCCACTTTCAGCAACCCAGTGATTCCGGTCATGAAAGCCTTTGACAACCTACCTTCTTTTTGTTTTCTTAGGATGTGAAAGCTTCTGCTACTATTCCCTTGTTGGGCTACATTGTGGATGACACCCCAAGAAGTGCTGACCTCCCCCACAGTTTCAAATTGACTCAGTCCAAGTCTGTGCACAGTTTTGCAGCGGACAATGAGGAACTGAAGCAGAAGTGGCTGAAAGTCATCCATTTAGCTGTCAAGGGTGAAACACCAGACTGTCCAAACGATTTGAGGATGAATTTGGAGGATCAGCACGAAAGCTCTGCAAAACTGGATTCTGAAACTTGAGACAGCAAATGGTCTGTAGGATATAAATTCTTTTGCTCCGTGCAAAGTTGGTTTGACACTACTTCTGAAGAGAACAAAAAAGCCAGCCTTCTTAACTCTATACCATATTTCTTAGCACTTTATGTTGGAAAAGAAAAAGAAAATGTTCCTCTTAGTGAAAAAATTCTTATATTTATGTTGTGTCAATAAAATTTATGTACAGAGCCATTCCCACATTTTCTTTTTATTACATGAATGTCTTTATCAAATCGTTACCAATATTACGGTACTACTTACATTTCCAATAAAATTACATCCTTTGAAATGAATGCTGTTAGGAAAAGAAATTGTGGCTTTCATAATTAATGTCAGTCCTGGTATATCTTGGTTGTTTTCTAGTATTCATAGCCGTGTGCTTCAAAGTTAGGCCTCCACATTGCCAAAATAGAAGTGTAGTGGAATGTAAAGACAGTTTGGCTTATTGTATCTAAAATTTAGCACTATTTACACTGTATATACATTCTGTCAGTTAAAAATAGAACAATACCCAGAGTGTCTAAAATGTCAAATTAGCTATTTACAAAAACTCATACTACTTTTCCATTTTAAAATACATTAAACAATAAGTACAGTATATAATATTTGCAGGGTATATAGCATTAGAGGGGAAATGTGCTATATTTAATTCAGATTTTGACTTCATTATGTTAGGGTCATTCTAGTGGATTGTAAAATAAAGCATGCTTTCTCCTAAAAAATGAGCAGGGGGTTCTACATTCCAAGCAACTAGTGACTTGTTTATATCTTATGGTATCCATATTTTTATACAGTAATACAGATCTTTTTAAAAGTTGCAGTGAATCAATGGCATGCAGTGGGTATCAGTATGTGAATTCTAGCTGTATAATAATAATAATTTCTGTTCTAAGTCCCGTGCCTGTGACCTTTGGGAGCTGGTGCTACCTTTTTAAAATTACAAGTGCTTCAGTACTTAACAGCCTGTTCTTAAATGATCACTTTCTGATCATAACGTTTTGCCTTTATAGTTGGTCGAGAACACCCAGACCTTAATCTTCTTGCTCAGTTCAGTCCATTTGCCTTGAGTCTCATTGAGAGAAAAGTGGTATATAAACAAATAATAATAATTATTATTGTTACTATTATCCAAACATCACTTCAAATCATGATTAAGAGAGGGTGGGTATATTTTATATGATGTCTAAATGCACAAACCATGGTCTAGTTGCTTTTTTCCCCCATGTCTGGAGCAACTTGAGAAACTGCAAGTCGCTTCTGGTGTGAGAGAATTGCAAGGACGTTGCCCAGGGGACGCCTGGATGTTTTACTATCCTATGGGAGGCTTCTCTCATGTTCCCACATGGGAAGCTGGAGCTGACAGATGAAAGTTCACCCCACTCCCCGGATTAGAATCGCCGACTTTTCAGTCAGCACAAGGGTTTAACCCAGAGTTTTTCAAACTGTGGGTCCCCAGGTGTTTTGGCCTACAACTCCCAGAAATCTCAGCCAGTTTACCAGCTGTTAGAATTTTTGGGAGTTGAAAGCCAAAACATCTGGGGACCCACAGGTTGAGAACCACTGGCTTAACCTATTTCGCCACCGGAGCTCCCGTCTAAATGCATAAACCAAGGTTTGTGATCTGCCATTAAAAACAATAAAACCATGTTTTGTGCATAGACTGACATGATCTTTTAAAAGGATAGATCATATATATTTAAGCCATCTCTCTGCTTGCATTGGGAAAGTAGAATACTGAGCTGAAAGGGGGGAAAAAGATGAAAATTTGATTTCCCTGATTTGGAAGCTGTAATTGGTTTGAGTCCCAGCTTTGGATTTGGATAACTCTTGATTTGTTGAGATACCTGAACTGAGTCCTTTGTAACCCCCACAAATTGTACACATCTTGCAACAGTTAATACTACTGTATTGGCTGTTTCATGTGATACGCAGGCATTAAAATGGGTTGCAAATCTGCCACTTCTATATTTGCATGAATAAATATTACATAATACATAATACTATGTCATATGTGTGAACACTAATATTGAGGTAATTATTCCTTGCCAAAACCTGAGTGCTTGGATCTTACTGTAGTCTTCAAAAGCATTCTTAGAGAAAGAGTCCACCTGAACATGAGTAAGAACTTCCTCATTGTGAGAGCTGTTCAGCAGTGGAACTCTCTGCTCTGAAGTGTGGTGGAGGCTCCTTCTTTGGAGGTTTTTAAACAGAGGCTGGATGGCCAGTTGTCGGGGTGCTTTGAATGCAATTTTCCTGCTTCTTGGCAGGGAGTTGGATTGAATGGCCTACGAGGGCTCTTCCAACTGTATGATTCTTTGATTCTAGGCTGCAATCCTGTCTTCATTTGCCTCGGAGCAACTCTGATAGGATTTATTGGCCCTTACACAGGCTTGTTTTGCTAATAACGTTATGTAGTATTGAGCCAAAATTGATCAAGTCATAGTCGCAGCTTTATTGTAATCTAATATTTATTCAATTTGTGGTGATATATTTGTGCTAACTTAAAACTCAAGGAAACAATTTTGACAATTACGATGGCAAGTAACTGGAAAAAGCAACTGAGGTTTCTTCTGCTGCATTGCCACCATTCATAAATGTTAAATGGCAAAATGACTATTGATAGTTCACTTGAAGATGTATTTACACAGTCTGCACCCAATTTTAAAGACCAGTCATGCTTACTGTATGATATGGGTTTTATCTTGCTCTCATTTTTGCTCAGAGCTCTCTTTCCAACTTACAACTGATATTTTTGAGTATTTCCCAATGCTGTCCAAGGTATGTGGTGTTCATAAGCAGTGTGATAAAGGGGGAAACAGAACCTTCAAGCTAACATTCAGATTCATTCATTCATTAATGGATAAGTGCCAGTACTGTCACATAAATGGAGGATTAACCTATTGCATTTAACCAAAGGCTATTCTAGAGTCCTGTTCCCACATTCAGATGCCTGTGGAAAAGCACAGGTCAGACAACAACAGCCATCTGCTTATGTTCCCCAGAACTGATACTAAGGGCCCTTCCATACAGCCCTATATCCTAGAATATCAAGGCAGAAAATCCCACATTGTCTGAGTATACACTCAGACAACCCAGTTCAAAGCAGATATTGTGGGATTTTCTGCCTTGATATTCTGGGATATAGGGCTGTGTGGAAAGGCCCTGAAAGTTATACTGTAATACTAGAGTTAATCCATAATAAATAGCAGTAATTGTTGACTTAATTCTCCATAAATTGGTCTAGTTGACTAAATCAATCCAAGCTGCCAGCCATCATTACATCTTGTAGGAATAAATCCCAAAATTTGACTATGCAGCTTGTGTACAAAAGTTACTTCTCTTTAAAAGAAGCTTTCAGCTTCGTCGGGCGGCTCAGGTCATGACATTGTGAGAAAAACTCACAATGTCATGACCTGAGCCACCCGACCCATCTTTACTTGCCTTTTTAGAGCCAAACAACCCTAAAAATGGTATTAGGAAACAGCCCAGACTCTTATTAATGTTCAGGTCTACAATATGCATCTTCAGATCTTAATCATTATTTCCAGAGGCGCAATGCTTACAAACCATACGTGCCATAAAGCAGCCTTTCCTAGTCTGGTGCTGTTCAGATGTTTCGGGTATCAGCCTGTTAACATGACCAGGGAATGGGGAAAGATCATGCAAGTTAGAGCCCAAAATGTCTAAAATGGGAGCAAGTCAAGGTAGGCAGTTGTTGGCACTTCTAATCTGATTCCTTTTTTTGTGCGTTAGCTTTTTGTGTTATTCTAGCCAAATTCAGCAGTAGTGTAGTGAGGTAAACAAAGCATCATTTTTTTAGATGACAGGTGTGATCTAAGTGGAAATCCTTAAGTTTTTCTGAAATGGTTTGTTATTATTACCAATCTGCATATTATGGAAAGATAAACTGCAGAGGATAAGTAAGCTTGTTAATTGATTCTTTTCTTTATGTGTTGAAACTTGAAATTGAAAGTACAGAGACATTGTGCCATCCAAAGCCTTGTGTTCAGAAGATCTTTCCAGTTGCATCTCGGAAAAAAGCCCAATTTTCCTGTTCACATGTATGTGCCAGATCATTTTCCTAAGTGAATAACGAAACCCCTGCATACAAATGCAGGACTACCTCTGTGCTGAATGATCTACCTGATTTTAAGTTGGCTTCTGTCTTCAGTGTAGTAACGGAAGTCGTTTTGAATGGGCATTTTCTTTTTATTTGCAGGGCTTTCCCCTTCCTTCTAAGTGACTGGCTTTTTAAGTGACTGATTTGACATTACAGATTTACTTTCTGAAGGCAGGGGTTTCTACTACATAGCAAATGTAGTCATATGTGGCCTAGTTTATAAATTGTCTGGTCTGGTTTTTAAAATTATAACTTCTGATCAAACCATTTGGGGTAGTTGCTAACAACCAAGAGTGTCTTCTCATATAATGCTTTTTCTACAAGTGAAAACCATTTAACAATGATAGTTGAGTGAGGATGTAATATGATGGTTACATCTGGCATCCTGTGAGCAGGCCAACATACACATCCCAGTGGTAATACTTATTTTGGAGGGTTATTAAATATCTAAATCTAGCTCATTGTACATCTCTGAGGTTGCCTTCAGTGCAATGTTACCTGTTGACGCTTAACCTCACATGGAAAGAGATTCCCCGAAGACTGAGTAAATAGTTTCTTGTAAATGGCTGAGCTTCCCAACCCAAAAGCATTGCTTTACAACATTTATTCAGTTCTTTTGATATGAAATAATAATAACCTCACAACTAATGTTTTATGTGCATAGTTTGAAACTATATTTTCTTTTCTCTGATTAAATTAGCTATTATACTTGTTCTATAAGAAAATCTGGAAGCTGGACATTTTCAGACATACAATATATAGTATCACTTTCCCTTCCTTCCTTTGAGAGTCTTAAGAAGATAACCTTGTTTGAAAGCATATCTGTGCTTAGGCTATGAGTAGTGAATATGAAAGAGTCTCATGGATCTCAGTTATGTTATATATTTCCCAGAATTGAATGGTCTCTATTTTATCCCCGTGAGAATATCGAGTAGGACCAATAAGTGGAAATCTGGGGAAGAGGGAAGATGTCAAGCACAAAGGGTATTGTCAGAATTCATTTTGCCAATCCCAAATTGCAGGTGTGGAATGGAGGGAGGGTGGGATCAATCATTTTTAAAGGCCACTTATCTTAGCACTTACTACTTAGGAAAGCACGTTCTGTGGCACCAAGCATTAATAGCACACAGGTGTAGAATAATGTTTCATGGAAATCAATAAGGTCCAAGGTTGGAGTCCTTGAACTCTTATGTAAAGCACAGCTAATGGTTACTTGTAATGAAGATTGGAATAAGGATGTCATAGTCTATTTCATTACCGTGTCCTGACTCTTAAGTCTTTAAAGACATTTTTTTAAATTCCCAGAGTACTTGGAGGTTGAGGAGGGGAAACAGTCCTTTAAATTGATTTTTCCCCATACTGGTCAACATATGGACAGACCTTTTGCTGTCTGCATTTTCATGCCTTACCATATTCAAAATAAAACTTTATAACTTCATTAGGAGATACAGGGTTTTATATTTAAAACTTGTCTTTTTGTCTGAGGAAGTTATTCTTCTTTCTTCTGATTGTATGTTTGACTGGATCAACACTGGAATTAGCGAACAATGAAAATAATGCTAGAATCTGCAGGACAAATTTCCTTAATGCTGAGGAGAGGCAGTTTTTCTGAACCGATGCCTTCTGCCATTGTCTTTTTGCCCAGTATTTTATATTTAAACAGTGTAAAGTTTGTTTGTGTTTCAGGATGCAAGAAGTTGATTAAAGGAAAAAAGTTTTTGTTTTCTAAAGTGACTTTGAAATCCTGTGGTTGTTTTAAGCCATGATTATTTAAGAACATGTACAACCTTTCTGAGCTTGTCTTTTCAAATTGATCTAAAGCAGTGGTTCCCAACTTTTGGGCCTCCAGGTGTTTTGGACCTCAGATCCCACAGTTCATAACAGCTGGTAAGCTGGCTGGGATTTCTTGGAGTTGAAGTCAAAAACACCTGGAGGCCCAAAGGTTGGGAACCACTGATGTAAAGGTTTGGAAAGCTGAATGAAAATGTAAGCAGAAGGCCTATATTTGTCATTTGATATGAGGGTGGCCATTCGGTTTTTGTGTGAAATGAATTTGGATATTTGAATATTGAGTTTGTATTGTTTTTGTGAAATTTCCTCAAGGTCCGTTTTTTAAAAATGTTTTGCAGTTTTGATATTGCAGGCTTTTCAGCTGAATATTCATTGTAAATATGTTTAAATGGTGTATATGAAATACTAATTCAGTGTCAATCATGATCCACAACTGGGAGCCACTATGAGAAATACACATTCCTCATAATTGTTGTCAAGCATGTTGCTTACCTTGGCATATGTGTGGGTAATCCATGTTTTAATCAAGCATTTTGTGGGTATGGATATAACTGCAGGTAATAGAAGTGTGAATCAATCCAGCTCAGATGGGGTTGATCAAGCCCATTTCAAAATGCATTTTCAGATGCCAGGTGAAGAAAAATCCTTGTTAAAATTAACTGCAGTTAAGGATACTTTCACAGAAAATTTAACATAAGATAAGGGAAAGGAATGATATGGAGCAAATTTTGAATTGCTGAGCAAATCTCAACTTTGGAAAGAGTAATTAGCTATTCTGCACTTATTAACTCATAAAGTTTCAATTACATGAACCCAATAACCACTTGAGTGCCAACACATCACTACCTGCATTCTGGCATAGATATACCATGCCAATACAGCATGATGTTGTTTATTTTGGAGTTCAGAACTCACAACATATTACTTGTTGGAATACAAATTTTGAATAATTATGTTGAACCAAAGCACCCGACCTTTGAACATTCAAATCGCCAATATATTGCAATGTGTATCTTTGCAAGGTGTATCAAATGTAAACATTGATCTGACCATTATCTATAAATGTTTACGTCATAGTTTTTAGCGTATTACAAAGCAAAATAGCATATGAATGCATCATGTTCTTTGCTTCATGTTCTACATATTTGGATTTCTCACAATTAGATACAAGTTGGTTTCACAGTTGAGAACAATTAGAGAATGGCTGACTTACTTCTTTTAACCTTTTAAAGTCCTAGGCAGAATCTACAACTAACTATCAGATTAAATTGGCATAATTCTGCAGGAAAAAAAAATGTGGTATTATCTTTCTGAAGTTAAGTAAATGCAAAACTCTGTGCTTTTTATGGAAGAAATAGCTTTATGCCAGGCCAGTTTGGGAGAGAGTCAATGAATGAAATGCACAAGTATTTGATTAAGCACAGGGGTATGACAAGGTGTAGTACTGTTTTTGTACGATTCCATTGTTGTTGCATGTAAATAGCTTGGGTGAAGTAAGGGGTCTGTAGCACAATTGCATTTGAATAGCTTTGGTGTGGCTGAGTTCTTTTCCCTAAAGCACAGACTGATCCCCCAAAATGTAGTTCTGTTTTCTGATTTCTGTGTCACTCATTGCATTGAGTGTTTCCCTGATCAGTGTTTTTTTTTTCTGTTTGTGATGACAAAGAATTAACTGTGGCATTTTGTTTTTAGGGCTAAAGCAAAGTTGATCTGATAAATGTTCCAAAATAAATAATTGCTCTTACCTGTAAATGGCTTTCTTCCTGTCAAGGAAAAAAGGCAATGCTTTGTTCAGTTGTATATTCCAAATGACTAAAGAAAAGTGTATTCCTAAGTAGATTTGTGTTTACAAACAGAGAAGTCCTGATTTTCACATTATTGACAGATAAATCACACTGAACTGAAGGGAAGCTAGTTCTGCTGATTCAAGAGGCAGTTTTGCACAATGCTGGTTGGCTGCTGCCTTCAACTTCATGAAGCCACCTTCATCCTCTACCCAGAAATGTCATGCAACGTTTTCAAAAAATATTCTGTTGTTGGTTTTGATTTTGTTTCAAAAGTTTGCCTGAAGAACAAGTGACAGTGGCACTTTAAGCGGATTTGTTAACATGCACATCCTGTTTAAAGCAGCCACTATGCAGGTGATTAGATAATATTAAAATTCTTTCTTCGTAGGCGATTCCTTGTAGCCCGAGGATGATGGTCCTCCAAGTCTAGTGTCTTGGCAGTGGGCCCGTAGGTGGCTGTGGAGCCCTATTCTTGATCCTATTCTTGATTCGCAGTGAGGACATTGGTTTCCAGGTGGAAAGCGGTCCTGGTCAGGGTTGGTTTGACGTGCCTTACTCTTGACCCGTTTCTCTCTTTTGCCCTCCATTTGTGCCTCTTTGACTTCTGCAGCACTGCTGGTCAGAGCTGACATCCAGTTAGAGCACTCAGGGGCCAGGGATTCCAAGTTCTTGGTGTCTATGCCACAATTTTTAAGGTTGGCTTTAAGCCAATCCTTAAATCTCTTTTCCACCAACATTACATTTCCCATTCTTGAGCTGGGAGTATAGTAACTGCTTTGGAAGACTATGATCAGGCATTTGGGCAATATGGCCAGCCCAGTGGAGTTGATGGCATAGGAGTATCGCTTCAATGCTGGTGGTCTTTTCTTCTTCCAGTACACTGACATTTGTCCGCCTGTCTTTTCAAGAGATTTGCAGGATTTTTCGGAGCCAGCACTGATGGAATCATTCCAGGAGTTGAGTGTGACATCTGTAAACAGTCTACATTTCACAGGCATATAGCAGGGGTGGGAAGACAATGGCTTTATAAACAAGCACCTTGGCATCCCTACAGATATCCTGGTCCTCAAAAGTAACTGTCTTACATGTGCAAAGAGATACCTGTGTGCGCTACTGCCTTGTCCAATGAACTCATCAGAGAATTTGTCATGCGTAGGAACTTTAGATATGCATGTACCACACAAGAACTTTGTGTGTAAATAACACTTATTATTCTCAAAGAAAGCATCTCATCTGATAAAATATAAAACACAAACTCCATGCACCTGTAGAACACCAGGTCCTTATTTAGAACAGAATTAGGGAGCCTTTGGTCTTGGACTCCTAGAAACCCCAGACCACATGGCTAATGCTAAAGTTTTATGGGAACGGTAATCAATGCATCTGTAGGGCTACAAGTTTCCTACCCATACTTTTGAAAATGTTTTGTTGATTTTAGCACATGTTGTGGATCAGTAGAAGTATATTTAATATTTGCATGTACCAGCTTCTACTCCACAATATATAAATTAGCAGCATGCATTGTGTATGGTGTACAAACGCATGTCACTTAGCTAGAACTTCCTTCTTAGGTCATTTTTCTGCAAAGTACACATTTTAGCCACTTCTACATCTCTGTTTAATAAATATTGATTGTGCACTTGGTAGTGCCATCTTTAAACCTTTCCCATCTGAAGCCTAAAATCATTTTGGGCAGAGCCTTAATCATACAAGAACCGATGCACGTGAGATAAATATAGCTGTTAGGATAAAATGTGCCCATTCTGGAATGCACTAATCAGAAGCTACGTTTCATTTTGAGTCCTAAGATGTGCCCTGCTGCATGATTATTACTAATTTTCTGAAGTAGTCCTGTTTGGGGTGAAATGTAGGGTCCTATTCAACCTCTGGTGACTGTAGTGCTATATGGGTGTCATTATTAGTGAAACTGGTGTACTAATTTCTGGTACCTGATACTGATTAGTAAGGGGCCCTTGTATATAGTCATTAAAGGGAAACATACAAATGCCAATTTTGCAACTAGTTTTGCAGTGCCCCCTTTTTCTTAGCGAGAATAGATTTGGGTTTTCCCCTGTAAATCTTTGTGGGTTTCAGACTTAGTTAATTAGAAGTGACTGGGATTTACTCTGATCATGGCTAATAAATCTTATCCATTGGGTATATTGCTAAATCTAGATTCAACCCATCTATAACCAGCATTACCTCCAGTGCTAAACAGCTATGTTTAAAAGCTGCAAAGTCTTAGAAATGTATCTGCAGTTTATTATCACTGAAGAACATGAAGAGAATCTATAAAATTACTTTCTTGCCTTTGTGCATGTGAGCAACCTTGGCAAAACTAATTAGGATAAAAGATAATCAGTAGTGGACCCAGGCAATGAATCCATGGATTATTTTTACCTGGTGGAGTATGTCACCCCAGTTTACGAGGAATTACAAAGAGAAGACTTGCCCATTCATTTTGCTTGTTGTTGCTATTGTGGTTTTTCTTTTGGTAGAGCAACGTGGTAAGGCAGACTAAAAATTCTCATAGTACAAGACATTTTTTGTGAGATCTCTAACTTGAGCTACATAATTTTTGACATCTTAGTTTATAGCAAACAGAAAAGTATAGAATTTTAAAATCTGCATCGATGAACAGTATTTTATATTCAGAAGTTAATTGTAATCCATGTGTAATAAAGTTAGAAGTGTCCACTGTATATATTATTCACTAAAGGGAAGCCTGCATGCGCCACGGTTGTGGCTCTTTCTCAGTGCATTCCTGAGTGGATCTTCCTCCCCTCCTTGTTCAAAGTGAAGATTTTTATTTTTCCCATTACATTGTTGAAGTAGAATATTTATTTTTATAGAATCTTTTTTTGGTCAAGTTATGTAATGCCAGTCATTTTCAGTGTAGAGTTAATCATTGCAGATGTATAACGTATTTGTGATCAGTTAAATCAAAACACTTCAGCAGAATAATAATAATTTTATTTTCTCTCTTCTTGAGCAAATGCTTTATGCCGTTAAGAGTTCTATATGTAAAATATATAGATCTTTGCCTGTTTGCCTTCCTTATCTCAAGAAACTGAAACAGTGTGAGAGAGATTATAAACAGGGCACAGGAGTAAATCACCAAAAATGATTCACTGGTCTCTACTCCAAAGGCACATTGGCCTGTATGGTGCCACAGCTGAAAAGAGACAAGATGATATATTGTGAATCAGTGGAAGTGAGGAAAACCCTACTTATTAGTGTCAGAACAGCACACAATATGTTACTGTTCCATTTGATAAGGGATGGGTTTTTTGGAAGTTCAGAAACGTTAACGTTCTTTTTGAGGGTGAGTTCTCTTGGGGCTTTACCATAAATAGATTGCAAAGTGTTAAAAAGGAAAGATTGTGAAAGTGGTTAAATTTGTCCATTTGTTATGATGTATATGAATGTAAAATACCTGCAGATATTTGTATATATTTCTGTAACATATGTATATATTTGGTCCATAAAGATGAGAGCTGGAATAATGTAAAAATATGCACTTTACTTCTCGTTGAAAACTTTAACAATTTGTATCCTGTAAAATAAAAGCATCATTAAATCAGAAAACAGTCTTTGTGACTTCAGTGCTCTCGTTCATTTCGATATCTTGTTGTTGTTCATTTGTTTAGTCGCTTCCGACTCTTCATGACCTCATGGACCAGCCCACTCCAGAGCTTCCTGTCGGCTGTCACCACCCCCAGTTCCTTCAGAGTCAAGCCAGTCACTTCAAGGATACCATCCATCCATCTTGCCCTTCCTTTTTCCTTCCATTTTCCCCAGCATCATTGTCTTCTCTAAGCTTTCTGGTCTTCTCATGATGTTGGCAAAGTACTTCATCTTTGCCTCTAATATCCTTCCCTCCGATGAGCAGTCAGGCTTTATTTCCTGAAGTATGGAGTGGTTTGATGTTCTTGCGGTCCAAGGCACTCTCTCTCCATAGGTTTTCCCCTGGCATTAAGTCCAGTTGTGTCCAACTCTGGGAGTTGGTGTTCATCTCCATTTCTAAGCCGAAGAGCTGGCGTTGTCCAACGTCATGTGGCCGGTATGACAACATGGAGTGCCATGACCTTCCCACTGGACCAGTACTTATTGATCTACTCACATTTGCATGTTTTCAAACTATTAGGTTGGCAGAAGCTTGGGATAACAGCGGAAGCTCACCTGCTCCCCAGATTTGAACCAGTGACCTTTTGGTCAACAAGTTCAGCAGCTCAGCGGATTAACCCATTGCACCACTGAAGGCTCCAATATTAGTCTCTCCATACTAGGTTTAAAGTGAGAGTGTCCACATTGATTATGTTGTGACGACACTGGTTATGTCAGGTTTTGAAAACGATGTTTAGATAATTAAGTGATGAGTTCAGTGTAGTATCAGTTACTAGAAGTCTTTTATTTCAAGAGGTTTCCCTCTCATTTGAGATGTGGTGCTGGGTGAGAGATTCAAATAATATTGTCTAAATACAAGCCTGAAATCTTAGTAGCCAAAATGACTAAACTGAGTACAGCAAGACCTCCATACTTGAGGCTTTAACTTTTCTGGATTTGATCATTCCTGGATTTGATTAATATGTTCTCTGTAGGAATCTCAAGATCATCCCGGATGATTCTTTGGTCAACACCTGGTGGGAATGGGAAATAGAATTGCCCTGGAGATCTAGAGTTTCCTAAAGCGGTATTCTCTCCGGTAAAAAACAAATATCTTTATTTCTTTTACTTTCATGTGAGTCCTGTACTTCCACCTCCTGCAAAGTGCTGTACTTTGGGCATATCGCAAGACAACATGAGTCATTAGATAAGATAATGCTTGATAAAGTTGGAAAGTAGTATGAATAGAAGAGGACTACATTACAGGTGGATAGACTCTGTCATGGAAGCCACCACCATGAGTTTGCAGGACCTTATCAGGACTATTAATAATAGAATATCTTGAAAGATTCATTCTCAGGAATTCCATAAAATTGAAGCCAATCTGATGGCTTGTGTCAACCTTGAAACTGAAGAGACTTAAAGTAGTATCAAGCAATTATGACTTTATTTCAACAACAATATATAAAAAAACGAAACTGTAATAGCAGAATTCAGCATTTACTGTCTTTCAGGTACATCTAGTTTTAGAAAATAAAGACAGGAAAGACACAAGCCAGATAATGAGAAAGATAAGGAATGTGGAATGGACACACCCTTAAACTAGTATCAAGCAATTATGACTTTATTTCAACAATAATATATAAAAAACCAAAACTGTAATAGCAGAATTCAGCATTTACTGTCTTTCAGGTACATCTAGTTTTAAAAAATACAAACAGGAAAGACACAACATGTCAGATAATGTGAAAGATATGGAATGTGGAATGGACACACCCTTTAATTTGTCACCCCTAAAATAATTTCAAGTTAAAAAAAATGAAATTTGATCTGATTCCTATGAAGTGCTTTATTTGAAACTAGACCCATCTGGTGAGCCAAATATTAATTGTAGGTAGATGCACAGTCCTATTATCAAGAAAAACAATCATATTCCCTATAGACTACTCTGCTGTATCATGAAGTACTCTTATAATATTTTCTGATTTTCATGATACTGAAATCTAGTGCTATCTAAAAATTAGGTTCTTGTAGGTTTTTTCAGGCTATAGGGCCATGTTCTAGAGGCATTTCTCCTGACGTTTCGCCTGCATCTATGGCAAGCATCCTCAGAGGTAGTGAGGTGACCTCACTACCTCTGAGGATGCTTGCCATAGATGCAGGCGAAACGTCAGGAGAAATGCCTCTAGAACATGGCCCTATAGCCCAAAAAAACCTACAAGAACCTAGTGATTCCAGCCATGAAAGCCTTCGACAATATATCTAAAAATTCATTTATATAAGCTGCACCTGTAAGCACCTAGAAAGGAATGTCACACACACTAATACTGAAGTATAAATATTCAATGGTATTTCTGTACCTGCCTATGTGTTTGGTGAAGCTGGGCTGGCCATTGTTGAGAATGCTGTGATTGGCCTTTTCCTGCATGGCAGGGTGTTAGAGTACAAGGCCCTAGTGCTCTTTTCAAACTCTATGATTTTACAATCATGTTATTCCATCTGCAAGTTCAGAAGGGTTGGTTAGTGTGAGTAAACTAACAGGAGAGGCTAGGCTCACACCATGCCCCAATTTTTATGTTTAGACTGGACTACTTCACCAAACAGGTTCATTGTTTTGGTGCAAGAAAGATCAAAGAGCAGGGTAGTCTGTGGTGAGTAGACTACTCAGATGTTTCACACCTATTTTCATTTCCAAAGTGTCTCTTAGTTGCTTACCTCTTTTCACCCCTAAAGTGTTTTTTAGTCTTTAGACTGTAAAGAGAACCCAGCTTGTATAAGCCAAGATTGCAATTAAGTGACTGAGAGGGATTTCTCAAACTAAGCACCATTTCATGGGCCACATGGACTGTAACAAGTACTGGTAGATCTGCCCACTCAAGTCAAGAAGTAACATGCCAGGTGAGCCCAAATTATGGGGATTGTTAGGGAAGATAATTATTCCTGTGATGCATTTAATGTTCTCTTCCATACTACTCCTCTTGGGTATCCAGTAAGTCATTGGCCTTGCAATATTCAACATAATCAACATAATCAAACTCCTTGATGTCAAAAGTTACTTTACTCCATTGTTTGAAGGTCCTTCGGCCATCTGGTGTTTCCACCACAAAATTTTTAATAGAAAGCATCGGAAGTGTGACATGCTGGAAGATCATTTCCATTCCCCAAGCCTGTAGAAAAAGAAACAGGACAGGTAAGTTATTTATCAGGCTCAGCCAGGTCTCGCTAGGCTACAACAAGTACTAACCCCACCAATTATAGAGCCAAAAGTCTTTGGCAGATGGTTGCCTAGGTATCTTCAAGTTTTTTTTTAAATCACTATTTCAAAATGACAAATCAAACCATCTCACTTTTTATGTGAAGGAGTCGTATGTGCAAAGGATCACTTTTTATCCATTGTTTTTTTAAATAGGGTGAATAATTCTGTTATTATTTATCAACACCTTGGCCATGTATGATCAGTGTGGGCCCTTAATTAGCTGAGTTCAAGCAGACTTAATTATAAGAAACTTTCCTAGATACAATATATACAGCTACAGTGATAGTAAACAGAAAGACCCATGACTTACATAGCTACATAGCTGCAGCTGTGGACAAGTCTACATAGGGACCACCAAACGCAGCGCCCAAATGCGAATCAAGGAACACGAAAGGCACTGCAGACTACTTCAACCAGAGAAGTCAGCCATAGCCGAGCACCTGATGAACCACCCTGGACACAACATATTATTTGAGAAATGCTGGACCAATCCAACAACCACCATGTCAGATTACACAGAGAAGCCATTGAAATCCATAAGCATGTGGACAATTTCAACAGAAAAGAGGAAACCATAAAAATGAACAAAATCTGGCTACCAGTATTAAAAAACTCTAAAATTACAACAGCAAAACAACGGAGAGGAAACAACCAGGGACAGCTAATCACCTCTCAACAAAAGATTGCCCCAGGCACTAACAAGCCACACCAAAAAGCTGTAAGGCCATCAAATGCTAATCAAGGTGGTCAGTTGAAACATTCACACCTAGCTCCAACAGACAAGAGTTCTTTGTCCCACCCTGGACACTCCACAGATATATAAACTCAATTTTCCTAGTTCCAACAGACCTCACAACCTCTGAGGATGCTTGCCATAGATGCAGGCGAAACATCAGGAGAGAATGCCTCTAGAACATGGCCATATAACCCAAATAAACCTACAACAACCCAATTCTTCTCCTTGTTTTCAAGTTCAGTTCCTGCTGCCCTCTGTATGTTATTCTCTTCAATTATGCAGCGATACTACTTACTTTTCAAGTGATATTACAATGCTATTTTTTTTTAAATTCTACTGTGACTCCACTCTAAGATGCACTTTTCTCCTGATATAAACATCTCTAAGAACAGGATGCATCTTAGAATTGTGAGTGACATATATAGCCCTTTTTGTTGGTGGTGGTACTAAAATTATTGTGCATCTTACAATCAATTGCATCTAAGAATAAAAGAAATATCATGTCACTCACCTGCCCACATGTGTTGCAGCTGATGGAACTGCCTGGTTTCCAGTCCTTGAACTGACGAGCAATCACAACATTGCCAAGTGATTTTCTATAGTAAAACCTACATTGAAGAAAGAAGACAGTGAATTCTGGATGGCCAAACTTTTTAGTCTGTGTATGCATAAAATATAGAGTTTGGGATATACTTGCCTTATAAGATTACCCCTCTTCCAATGCACACCAAATAAAAATTTAAAAAACATCAGATTTGATTTCAATATGGTAATTTTCCTATTACCACACCTCCTCTCTGCTTCTCAGATTTTGCACATGCGTGCCTGCGCTGCTTCACTGCAGTCCTCAGGAGTGAAATCTGAGAGGCAGAGAAGGAGGTACAGTAATAGGATACAAGGGCGGGTCAGATGGGTGAAAGAGTCATGTTCTTTTTTCCATACCCGGGCATCCCGAACGCCTGCGGCCTGCTCCACCCTTCACTTACACCTTCCCAGTGAGATCTCCCCTCATCTTGTTATCGGGACTGTATTAAGTCACTTCTTTCCACGAATCCTGGTGAGTGGATTTTCTTCTACCATATTTGTACAGCGCCACCCTTGCTGCTTTCATATTGTCGCCGCATATGGTGGGGATATGGCTGCAGCTGTTTTTGAGCTCCCCCCACCATATGCGGCAACTGCAGATTCTCCAGTCTGGCTCGGAAGTTTCAGCACCTGCCGTATAAGATGACACCCATTGTATAAGGTGATCCCTGACTTTTGAGAAGATTTTCCTGGTTGAAAAAGTAGTCTTATATGCCAAAAATTACAGTATATAGAGTAACAAAATGATTGCAAAGAAAGGAGTAGTCTTTTCCACCCATTTTTTTCTTTTTTTCATGGCTTCAGCAATTTTGGAAATTTCACATCTTTATTAGGCAACACATCTTTGTATGCAAAAGTAATCTGAATAATGAGCTAGAGAAAAGTCCCCTTCCTTCTATTCTGTGCACAAGTGTAAATCCTGGAAGCAGGAAACTATAAGTTGGAAACTGGTTCTCCAGATATTGTTGAAATGCAGTACTTCCATAATCTGTGCTGGCTAAAGCTGATGAGTGTTAGATTTCAGCCACAATTGCCTATATAAAGATTGCAGATGAAACTGACAAGAGAAAAATATATTTCTTGCTTTAGGTTCACTCTTTTTTACTTTCAATTATATCACAGTCAAAGCATGATGATTCCAACTATTATATCTTTCCTCACCTGAAGTTTGGGTTTATATTTACATGGTGCATTTTCTCAATTTTGCATAGGTCACTCCCATGGCAAACTGCTATACTGCAGTTGAGGCAGTAGAGGCGCACACTGTCTGGAGCATGGAGTTGGCGCCGCTGTTTGCGTTCAGCATCTCGCACTCTGTGGTTGACAACAGCTTCAAGCTGCAGCTTTTCAATCTATAGGAAGCAAGAAGAAAGTGGTTGTCTGTTGGATATTAAAAGTTGGCGGATCTGATATGGCAACACAGTGAGAACTGGCTAGGAATATGGCAGTAAGGCATTTGTTCCTTCTTCTGCTTTAGGAACCTTGTATGCACTCTTCTAAGCCTGGAAGCACTGCACCCAAATACAGCTACATTTGCATTTTGACTGGTGGATTTGATGAAAAATGCTAACTCTAGGAATCTCTGGGTGCCCTGGCCTTTGAGTGCTCCAGTTGGAGGTCAGCTGTGACCAGCAGTGCTGTAGAATTTGAAGACACACAAGTGGAGGGTGAAAGAGAAAAACGTGCCAAGATGAAGGCGTGTCAAGTGAACCCCGACTGGGAGCACCTTCCACCTGGAAACCAATGCCCTCACTGCGGGAGAAAAAATAAACACTCATGCCCAGCGTTTATTTTTTAATTTTTAACTATTACATCTGGCCTGGCCATAGGTTTTTAAATCTTTGCATGTTAGTGATTATATGTGATTTATTTAATTGCATCGCTGTTATTTTTTGTTTATTGCTTTCTTGTTTATTGATGTGTTGTTGGGCTTGGACTCATGTAAGCCGCTCCGAGTCCCTTGGGGAGATGAAGGCGGGGCATAAATAAAGTATTATTATTATTATTATTATTATTATTATTATTAAGATGCAGATCAAGAATACGGCTCCACAGTCACCTATGGACCCACTGCACACTGCACACTGCCCTTGGAAGACAATCCTATTCGGACAACGAAGTAAAGTGAGTAAGTAACAAAGTACAGAATCAATAATTTCCACAAAGGAGGGAAGTTGGACTCCTGCTCAGTTGCAAAATTAGATAACCCATGTTGGAAGGGCAGGTTTTCCTGAGGGTGATGATATTACTCCGAAATGGAAAGGAAGTGTTTTAAAATTAGGATGTTACCAGTGGTAGAAGTGAGACTTCATTGTATCATTCAAAAGGGAGTAGACTACCAAGGAATAAAAACTATCAGATAGAGTGTGGGAATTTTATAGATCTGTTTTTTTTTTGTTTCTTTGAGTGTGTTTCATTTCTGTTTTTTTCTCATGTTGAGTAGTCCTTTAGTTGTAGTCTTACAGCTGGAGATACTTTGTTGTTCTATGGTCTATAGTTTTATGTCTAAAATCTGCTGCTGTGTTTTATCTTGATTTTTTTTCTAGAATAAAAGGAACTTAATCCAAACATATTATAATGGGGGGGGGGGTTCAAATTTGGGTGAGGCTTCAAGGTGGGAAGTTGAGTAGAGATGCAGGAAAGGTTTCAAGGAGAGAAGGAGCAGAAATTAGAAAGGAAGGAGTGTATTAACATCTGGATTAGGTTTTAAGATCAGGAGGGGAAGACACAGATCAAGGATCAATTTCAAAATATGATGAGACTTTGAGGTGGGAAGATGAAAAAGTGAGAGATGAAAAAAGTTGTGAGTGAGGTTTGGGAAGGCTTTAACAGTCTAAAAGGTGAAGCAGAGAAGAGTCTTGATCTCCATCATCTGTATGAACTGCCTCTCTTTTCATGATCTTCAGATGACCTGCTCCCAAAACATGAGCGTTTGCAGATATTTTCAGTAAGATAGTGGTGGACCCACTGCCTCCACACCTATTCAACGACTGCCTTGTTGATCCTATTCAAGGGCCAAGATTCTAGTGGCTCACATATATGCCTATTCCGAACCAGTTAGTAGCTCTGTGAGACTTCAAAAATCTAAAGAGGGACTTTAAAAAATCCTTCTCTTCATGAGCGGCTTCTCCTAATCTATTTTTCCGAAATAGTCTAGAGCAGGGGTCCTCAAACTAAGGCGCAGGGGCCGGATACGGCCCTCCAAGGTCATTTACATGGCCCTCGCTCAGGGTCAACCTAAGTCTGAAACAACTTGAAAGCACACAACAACAACCATCCTATCTCATCAGCCAAAAGTAGGCCCACATTTCCCATTGAAATACTAATAAGTTTATTTATTATTATTTTTTACATTATTTATATTCCATCTTTCTCACCCCGCAGGGGACTCAGGGTACATATACATAGCAAACATTCAATGTCATAGACACATTGCATATATTCCAGCTTCTGGCCACCAGGGGAGCTGTCGCTTCACCGTCCGTTTGTGACGCTGATGAAGTATTTCCTCATTCTTTGCATACTTCCTGGAGATTTTTATGGCCTTGTAAATCAGTTAAATTATATTTCTTAAAATTGTTATTCATTTTAATTATTGTATTGTTTTAAAGTGTTTTTTGCACTACAAATAAGATATGTGCAATGTGCCTAGGAATTCATTCATGGTTTTTTTCAAATTATAATCCGGCCCTTCAACAGTTTGAGGGACTGTGACCTGGCCCTCTGTTTAAAATGTTTGTGGACCCCTGGTCTAGAGCATCAAGGCTCTGCAATGACTACCACAAGTGCAATTGGAAGATGACCTGGAACTTAAACTCTTCTGCTCATTGCCAGTATCCCAGAGAGTGCAAGATCCTACGGTTTTCAACAAACTGGGCTTCTGCACAGCCTACAGCAACTCTCCCTTTATTGTGCAGCCATTTATCCTCAAGCCATTTATCCAAACTATCTGGAACTGAAATTGTTTAAATCTGCTATTGCTCTCACAAATATATCTAATGAATGGCTTCCATATAACTTTGAACAATTTGTCTTGCATTTTCCCTCTCTCAAATCTTACTTTGAATGTTATTTTTTCAAATAAATGTCTACAACCCTCCCTTGGCTGGCTGGGGCGGGGGGGGGGGGGGGGGGGGGGGGGGGGCGGCAGCGGTGGAGAGTAGTGGAAAAGTACTCCACATTTCTTAGTACTCGAAGGTAAAACAATAAATACATTTTGATCCCATAGGACCTAGAGAATGCCTTAATGTAGTGAAAATGTTCTCCATTTCCCTTGGGAGTGCACTTAAGGGCATTTAAACAGTCACAGATATGACCATGTGGGAGAATTGTTATCTGCAAAAAAGTAATTTGTTTATTTTTTCTGCTATAGCCTTTGGTCAAACTAATGTGGAAGTATTTTATACCACTTCAAAGCACTGCCTGAGGGATGTCTCAGCAATGTTACAGCATATTATTATTATTATTATTATTATTATTATTATTATTATTATTACTTTATTTGTACCCCACTAGCATCTCCCAAGGGATTCGATGCGGCTTACAATAGGCCGGAGCCCAACACAATACAACAATGGTTGCTGATGACACGATAAATAAATAACACAATACAACAACACAATACATAGCAAATAAAACAGTTAAAGCAGAAAACAATAGCAATAGCAATACAACAGGACATTATTAAAAACTGAGCCGGCCGGAGTGGGGTACATATATGTTTACCACGAGAAAATAGTCAGGGCTGAATTATATCCATCTGATTTTATAATTACAAATGTATTAGATTCAACCTATCAGATCACTGGTACTTATTTATTCTCCCTCATCTTTGATTTTTTCCCATACCTCAAATATACTGACGGGTGTATAGTAAACGTAAAGGTTTCCCCTTGACATTAAGTCTAGTCAAGTTAGACTCTGGGGGCTGGTGCTCATCTCCATTTCTAAGCCAAAGAGCCAGCGTTATCCGTAGACACCTCAAGGGCCATATGGCCGGCATGACTGCATGGCGCGCCGTTACCTTCCTGCCGAAGCATTACCTATTGATCAACTCCCATTTGTATGTTTTCGAATTGCTAGGTTGGAAGAAACTGGGGCGAACAATGGGAGCTCACTTTGTCCATTGATTCGAACCACCGACCTTCTGGTCAGCAAGTTCTGCAGCTCAGTGGTTTAACCCACTGCACCACTGTGGCTCCTACACCCCTGTGTAGGGTGTATACATATCTATTAATTCCTATGAGCATGCATGCATGTGCGCTCACGCACACACACTAGCTGTACTCGCCATGCCTTGCTGTGGCCAACCTTTCCTCCCTCATTCTTCCCTTCTTTCTCTCCTTCCTTCCTTCTTTTCTTCCTTCCTTCCTTCCCTTTTTTTCTTTCCTTCTCTCCTTCCTTCCTTCTCTACCTCTTTCTTTCCTTTCATTCCCTTTTTCTTTCTTTTTGAGTTATGTGCATCTCGTAAACACACACATTTATTTATATAAACAGAGCAAAAATATGTAATCTCCAGCTCAATTTCTCTATCATTTAAAAATATGAGATATTAAAATGTGCACATTAGTAAACACTTTTTTTTCTCCTACAAGCAGGCACCTCCAAACCCGAATCTTTTTTCTTCTTTTCTTTTACCCTTATTGCCAAATCAGGCCTACTGCAAGTATGTCATATATGGGCCAGTGTGACAAGATCCAGGTGCTTGGAAAATGTTACCTTGCAACCCATCATTCATCAGTTCATGTATCTGTGTGGCTTCCACTAGTCAGCCTCATCTCATGCTGGTGTTGACTAATGCAAAGTCTTGTTACCTTCTTGCAATACTCATGTTGAGGCATCTGCTGAACCCGTTTTATAGCCCTTTCCATCACACTCTCCAGGTTCTCATTAAGTTTCTCTCGGCTCACTTCTTTGCTGTTGGCTTTGGCCAAAACAGAGCAGATACTGTTTGGAGCACGGGCACGGCCCCGGGCCTAAAGAGATGAAAAAAGGCAACTTGTTGGTTCATCCCGTTATCCAGCCCAGCTATTCCTTAGCGTATTACCAGGCACAGCCACACAATTAACCCAATAATTATTCCATCTTCCCCACTGCAACCGTATTGCTTTTACGGTTTCCTTGAGAGTAGGTCTGACTGACCTGCATCATGGCAATCTCGTTTGTCATCAGCCCGTAACGGACGATAATATTACACTCTGGGACATCCAGCCCCTCCTCTGCCACGCTGGTGGAGAACAGCAGATTGAGCGCTCCTTGGCGGAACTTTTGGATGATATTTTGTTGCTCTTGCTGAAAGGAATGGGGATAGAGATGTCAAGAAGTTCACACCCTTTCCCCATAATCAGCTATAGAAGGAAAACCAAAAGTGTCTCTTTAGTAGAAGCCTTTTTTTTATGGTAACGTCTTCCTATGATATTCCTCCCTCAATGAGGTCTAGGGCTTGGCCAAGTTACTTGTTTGGAAAACAACTTCCCAAATCCCTAGTCAGTGCAACCACTCTTGTGCAAATCTGGTTTTCAGAATACTTTTTCATTCTGCCAAGCGTTTAGTTTGGCTTAAAAATTAATCTACATTACGGAGTCTATGATTTCATTATTTTGAATGTGGTTATGGTGCTTCCATCCTTACTGTTTTGATGTTAGCATTTTATCAGGATTTTTTTCCGGATAACCACCATAAGAAACTATGGTGGCAGAAAGACAGATTAGATATATTCACATAAAAACATGATCAAATTGGCTACCTAACAGACTGGACCCTACAGCCTGTTGAGATGTTTTGAGAAGTTTTGAAAATTCAGTATCAGTGTTGGAATTATGCAGCTATCCAAACCTTGTTAGACTGCAGTTCCCATCAACCCCAGCCAAAATAGCCAGTGGTGAAGAATCCTGAGAAATGAAGTTGAACAACATCCCATACCATGCTCTACATCAGTGGTTCTCAACCTTCCTAATGCTGCAACCCCTTAATACAGTTCCTCATGTGGTGGTGGCCCCCCAACCATAACATTATTTTCGTTGCTACTTCATAACTGTAATTTTGCTACGGTTATGAATCGTAATATAAATATCTGATATGCAGGATGTATTTTCATTCATTGGACCAAATTTGGCAAGAATACTGAATACTGGTGGGGTTGGGGTGGGGGAGAGGTTGATTTTGTCATTTGGGAGTTGTAGTTGCTGGGATTTATAGTTCATCTACAATTAAAGAGCATTCTGAACTCCACCAACGTTGGAATTGAACCACACTTGGCACACAGAACTCCCATGACCAACAGAAAATACTGGAAGGGTTTGGTGGGCATTGACCTTGAGTTTGTGAGTTGTAGTCCACCTACATCCAGAGAGCACTGACTCAAACAAGGATGGATCTGCACCAAACTTGGCACAAATACTCAATATGCCCAAATGGGAACACTGGTGGAGTTTGAGGAAAACAAACCTTGACATTTGGGAGTTGTAGTTGCTGGGATTTATAGTTCACCTACAATCAAAGAACATTCTGAACCCCACCAACAATAGAATGGGGCCAAACTTCCCACACAGAATCCCCATGGCCAACAGAAAATACTGTGTTTTCTGGTGGTCATTTGTGATCCCTTTAACACCCCCTTGTGACCCCACCCCCAGGGGTCCCCACTCTACATGGTGACTGCTCTTGCTCATATCACCAGGAAACTCCCTCCATTTCTCCCCTGCCTTCTTGAAGATGCATGTTAAGAGATGAACCAGCATTTCCGTTTGCTGGTAGCCACATCTGTCAGTTAGCTACAAAGCTAAGAGGATGTTAAGGATGGATCCAGTAGCTGGTGAAGGATGTGTGGGCTCTATTTTTATATCTGTCTTCCCAAATCAGTGGAATTCATCAAAGGTTATCGCAATTTTTTAAGTGAGAGCTGTTATTTTGAAAAAAAGAAGAAAGTGTTGTGTCATTTTTATGATAATTTTAGTGTAAGTTTTCATGGACTATTACCTATTTCTTCAGATACATACAGTCAATAAAATGAACTGGTTAGTCTTAAAGATCCCATAGGAGGCTTTTCAATAATCTAAACTTCATATTGCAAAGTTCAACTATATTTAACATCCTAGTTATCCACACTCTCCCCAGACCGACAAGTCGGAGGTTCGAATCCGGGGAGGGCATGTATGAGCTCCCTCTGTCAGCTCCAGCTCCCCATGCGGGAACGTGAGAGAAGTCTCCCACAAGGATGATAAAAAGCATAAAAACATCCAGGTGTCCCCTGGGCAACGTCCTTGCAGACGGCCAATTCTCTCACACCAGAAGCGACTTGGAGTTTCTCAAGTCACTCCTGACATGGAAAAAAAATCCTAGTTTTTGTGGATTTCCATCCTGTAACTCTTGTCTTCCTATGCTTTACTCTCCTCCCTTTACCTACAGAAGAACTTGGAATCAAACTCACATCTTTCCCATTTCTTAGACTTACTTGTGTCATGTGTTTAATCTGGTTGCTGTATCCAGCCCCGGTCAGAAAAGCAGCCTTGATCCCAAGTTCACGCAAAGCCTGATTGTCCTGTAACCACTGGTGAAGGGAATGAGCACTCTGGCGTGTCCTAGTGAACACAATGCCTCGTGAGCCCTTCAGTTCTTGGAATTGCTCCTGAAGTACTTGCTGCAGTTTTTCAAGCTTGGGATTTTCATTGCTTTTGTCTTGTGCTAAGGCCAGCAGTTCAGCCCTGTTTCCTGCAAGACAAGACCCATAGGTTTCAACTACAGCTGCGGAGAAGTACATAGGAAATCTCTCTTGACCTTATATGAATATATGCAGTATACTCCCGGTGGCGCAATGGGTTAAACCTTTGTGCCAGCAGGACTGAAGACTGACAGGTTGGAGGTTCGAATCTGGGGAGTACACAGATGAGCTTCCTCTGTCAGCTCCAGCTCTCCATGCGAGGACATGAGAGAAGCCTACTACAAGGATGGTAAAAAATCAGAACATCCGGGCATCCCAGGGCAACATTTTTGCAGATGCCCAATTCTCTCACACCAGAAGCAACTTGCAGTTTCTCAAGTTGCTCCTGATATGAAAAAAACCCTAAATATAAAACATATATTCATGTATAAGTCTAGAAATTTTAGTCTAAGAATGACACACACATCAACAAAAAAACAAAACCCCGGATCAATTTATCCACCAGTCACTGTAAATATTGTAGCTTAACTCTTATCAAGAAAGGAACCACCTCCTACTGCTGGATTAACCATTAAGCAAAATAAGCACATGATTGGACCATCAAGAGAAAGGGGACACCACAGAAATGTATACAAATATAAATGAGGAAACAAAGTCCTTTAAGTGCTTATGGCATCTAAAAGAATTGACCATCCTCAATATTATGGCTTTAGACCAGTTTCATGCTCTCATCCCAAAACTGCACCATTATTCCTATCAAGACTTACTGTGAAAGATCTCTACCAGATGGCGCTCAGCTGGATGATGTAGGACTTTCATGGCATTTTCCAGTACATAAAACTCATCCAAAGCATTGAAGGCATCAATCATGCGGACAGTGTCATTGATCAACAGTGCATCATTATATTTACGGAGGTGCAAGGCACACACACGGGTCTTTTGGCAAAATTCTTTTGCACCTAGCAATATGAATATGGCAAAAATAATCACATTATCCTTTTGTCGATTCCATACATTGTTTCAGGATTATTTCCTCATAACAAGTTAATGGATTGTTCACACAATTCTCTGGAAGAACATCTGAAAACAAAGTGTGTATTTACCATGGTTCAATGCTATAAAATCCTGGAATTTGTAGTTTGATGAGGTACCAGAAAAGACTAAAGAACTTGTAAAATGACAACTCCCACAATCCCATAGCTTTGAGCCATGGCAGTTAAAATGGCATCAAACTGCATTAATTTTACAGTGTAGATTCATCTGAGGTTACAAAATTCTGAGCTCATACCATTTTGGAACTTTTTATTCTACTTTCCTGCTTGCTGCATAACATAAGATGGAATTGTAATTGTTTAAAACAAGTTGGGAAGGACAAATTGAAAATTGGAACTGGGAGAGTAATTTCCGGATGCTGGCTCATCTCTCAGTCTGGGTTTTCATTATGAGATATAGAAGGTCCTACAAAAATTAAAATTCTTATTCTCTCATACCCCAAATTACAGCTTTTCCTGGTGAATGCTGTGAGCAGAGAATGAGGAATGATGAAACAGTTTCTCAGAGCCATCCTTGAAGTGGCATAATGTAGTGTCATTTTTTTCTCAACCTCTTCTGGCTCTAGTAGCATTCCCAGGGAAACCAGATTTGGAGCAAAAATGATGCTGAACTCCTGACAGGATTTCTGATACAACTTCAATAATGTTTTATTTCTTTCTCTTGATAATTTCATTTGACACTAGTAAATATATGTTGATTGACTGGGGCAGTGTCATGCTTGACCTTTGATTCAGTCATCCATAAAGAGCATGGTATTAAGCCACGAGAAAAGCTTTGCTGAATCAGACCATAGGCCTTTCTTCTGTTAATTTGCTGTTCCTACTGCAGACATTTAGCTGCTTGTAGCAAGTGTACAGACAGGACATGTTCTTAAAGAACACTAGATGTAAAATGAAATTGTGAGAAGAATTCTTAAATCAACAAATTAATAGGAAGAGTGACATTTTGCAGTTTAGTTCTCTCTAAAATGATACAAGTCAATGAGAAAATCATGTGTATTTGGCCCAAAACATCACACAGAGAGACTGATAGCATTTTTTCTTCATTTCGATTTCTGTTGTTCAGTTTTTCTTTAATGTATTAATACATGGAATGGATAATTATTATTAATTATTACTAATGTTTAGGTTTTTTTTTCAGGTCAGGGGCGACTTGAGAAACTGTAAGTCGCTTCTGGTGTGAGAGAATTGGCCGTCTGCTAGGACGTTGCCCAGGGGAAGACTGGATGTTTTACCTTTCTTGTGGGAAACTTTCCTCATGTCCCTGCATGGGGAGCTCAACCTGCTTGCCCCGGATTTGAACTATTGACCTATCAGTCAACAGTCCTGCTGGCACAAGGATCTAACCCATTGCTTCAGCGGGGGCTCCATTTGTTTGATGAAAGTAGTAATATATAAGGTTCACCCTTGCTTTCATATTCAATATATTTTGTATATATTTAGTAGTTCTATTGCATTTTTAACAAGGCTGTCGACTTATTCAACAAACTTAGTGCCAATTACAGGTTGAGCATTCCTAATTTGGAATTGCAAAACCCCAAATTGCCCACATGAGTAGCTGAGAAAGTGACACCTTTGTTTTCTGATGGCACCATGTACAGCAACATCATTTCATTCACAAAATCATTTAAAATACTGTATGAAATTATATCCAGGCTGGGTGTATAAGGTGCATATGGAACATAAATGAATGGCATGTTTAGACTTCAAAATATATCGTTATGTATGTATATGCAAATACATGCATTCCCACATCCAAGAAAGAAAGGAAGACATTTAAAACACTTCTGGTCCCAAGCATTTCTGAGAACAAATATTCAACTTGTACTAAATTAAATATATTTAAAAAACCAAACAAGGACATCTAATCACCTCTCAACAAAATATTGCTCCAGGCACTGCCAGGCAATCAAATGCTAATCAAGGTGGTCAGTTGAAACATTCATGCCTAGCTCCAACAGACAATACTCCTTTGTCCCACCCTGGTCATTCCACAGATATATAAACACTTTTTCCTAGTTCCAACAGACCTCACTACCTCTGAGGATGCTTGCAATAGATGCAGGCGAAACGTCAGGAGAAAATGCCTCTAGAACATGGCCATATAGCCCCCAAAAAACCTACAACAACCCAGTGATTCCGGCCATGAAAGCCTTCGACAATATATTAAAATAGGTTATTCTTCTGTGTTATTTTTCAGATTATATTTTGAGATGCATGGAATTCAGAACTGTGATCCAATCAAAGCTACTTTCTCTGCTATCATCTTGGTGAGTGTCCCTGCAGCAGACACTCTCCTTGGGATTGTTTTATATCAGGGATGTTAATTGTGCAGTCCTCCGGGTGTTATTGGTTTGGATTTCCCAGCAGCCTTTCAGATATCTAGCATGCCTAGAGGTGATGAATGGAGTCCAATAATATTTGAAGGGCCACACAGATTCTAACTGTTTTACCTAAAGCTTCTAAGCCTTCCTGTCCTACTGTAGCCGTGATACCTTCCTGTGAGGTATAGCATCCTATCATTTGAAGCAGGAAAGCACTGATGTCAAAAAAGGGGAAAATCTGTCATTGGGGATACATTTTTCCTTTCTGTTTTCTGCCACACGCTTACCATGCCTCTCAAGCTCCACAACCTGTTGCTCAAAGGTTTGGGAACCAAAATCTGTAGTCAGGCTTGGTGAGTCCAGATAAGTACAGATCTCGGTCATTATCATCTTGAGCTGTTGTCCAAAAGGATCCTGAAGAGGGGAAATGCAAAATTAGGATGAGTAAAGGAATAACATGGGTTTCTGCTAATTTGATCAGAAATTAGACGCATCTTGTCATTGTTTCTCTGCTCCACTGATGTTCTCATAGATATAGAGGACCTTACCCGTAACCTTGGATCAGACAGGTCATACTGCTTCTTTGGCTGTGGGATGTGAGTATCAAGGTAGAATTTATATTTCTCAGATGACATGATTTTTTCAGTGTCCAGGTTGGCACAGATCTGTGAAAAGTAATGTCAATTGCATAAACATTTCAGCTACAGAACAAACTCATCAGATTTAATGTTCTCTTATTGCCAGCAGAAGAAGCTCCCTGAAGGCAGGGGGGTCAAGTGGCAGAAGGGGGAGAAGGAAAGACAGATATGCTGTGTGATTTGCTGATGTACCTAATATTTACTAGAATTTTTATCTCCAAAGTCAATGTAGAGAGAGCATTTGTCTAATCGCATCTCCCTATACAGACCATCCTGGGCACTACGGAGGCCCTTGTTTCGATCCCACCTCCCGTCACAAGCATGGCTGGTGGGAATGAGAGAGGGAGCCTTCTCCGTGATCACTCCCTGCCTCTGGAACTCCCTTCCGAAAGAAATAAAAATGGCTCCCACTCTTCTTTCAAAAACCTACTAAAAATGCATCATTGCACTTTGACTTATGGGGAGGAGGAGGATTAAAGCACTTTAGTAACTCCATTGAAAAGCAGGTTGTCCTATCTGTACTCCATCGTCATTATGGTACAGTGAAGAGCAACCAATAGCCAAATGTTTATCTAGTTCAGTGTTTCTCAACCTGGGGGTCGGGACCCCTGGAGGGGTCGCGAGGGGGTGTCAGAGGGGTCACCAAAGACCACCAGACAACACAGTATTTTCTGTTGGTCATGGAGGTTCTGTGTGGGAAGTTTGGCCCAGTTCAGTCGTTGGTAGGGTTCAGAATGCTCTTTGATTGTAGGTGAACTATAAATCCCAGCAACTACAACTCCCACAGGACAAAATCAATACTCTCCCCCAACCCCACCAGTATTCAAATTTGGGCATATTGGGTATTTGTGCCAAATTTGGTCCAGTGAATGAAAATACATCATGCATTTCAGATATTTACATTACAATCCATAACAATAGCCAAATTACAATTATGAAGTTGCCACAAAAATAATGTTATGGTTGGGGGTCACCATAACATGAGGAAGGGTGTTAAGGGGTCGCGGCATTAGGAAGGTTGAGAACCACTGATCTAGTTTTTAATAGTGCTGACTATGTTAGATATTTTATTGTTGACCATACTTGTTTAGTGATTCGTTGTTCTATTTCTATTTTGATTTTTAATTTCATTTGATTAGTACAATGCTATTATTATTCCATATTATGTTTATTGTTGTAATATTTTGGTATATGCCGGGCATTGTATTTGCCTTTGTATGTGTAAACTGCCCTGGGTCTGCCAGGGGAGATAGGGAGATCTAAAAATAAAGATGATGATGATGATTAGCATTTTTGGATGAGCACTGAATCCTGAGCTAGATCACTCTAAGAGAGATTTTACCATTTCACAGGACACTAGAAGCTGCTTTATGCCAAGTGAGAGAATTTGTCCCTCTGACCTTGTAGTTTGACTGATGAGTCTCTCTGGCATCTCCAGCAGACATCTGTCCCATCGCCTGTTATATGAGATCTTTTAAACTGAATATGACATTATTCTGGCAGTCTTTGATATACAAACTGCATTCAGTATCACTGAGTTATGTTCTCTCTTCCACTTTCCCTGCCTCTGTGAAATAAGTCTAAATTTGCAGCTGACAGCAACTTCTCCATAAAAATGGGAAATCTCAAGGTTTTTCCCTGACATTAAGTCCAGTTGTGTCCGACTCTGGGGTGTGGTGCTCATCTCCATTTCTAAGAGCCAGAGGTGTCCATAGACACCTCATGGGTTTTCATTTCCCAGCACCCATAAGGGTCACACTTCTTCAAAACTTCTATGTCTGTGTGCATTTTTTTTCAAAACTAGAGAAGACTAGTGTTTCTTCTACGTTCTTTTAAAGGGGGCATGATCAGAAAAGCACTTAACACCTGCATTGTTATCCACCTTACTAAACCACTTATCCCTTAACTAGTTAATGTAGTAGTCTTTCTTCCCCACCTCCAAAATTAGTCTTCTGTTATTGTTGTTGCTAGCTATTATTGTTATGTTGTTTTATGCTGTTTTATGCTGTCTTAATTGTTTTTGCTTTGTTTTTAATTGTATTCTGCCTTGTGCTTGGGCCCCATGTAAGCCACCCCGAGTCCCTTCGGGGAGATGGAGGCGAGGTAGAAAAATAACGTTTTTCTTCTTCTTCAAAGCACTGCATCTTGTGTTTTAAGAATTATTGTTCCTGGAGGCTTTCTGGAGTGAGAGTTGTCATGTCTGAAAGGCGGGGGAAGAGCCAGAAGGACTACAACAAATTATTGGGAAAACATTGACCACATGCTCTAGAACAGTGTTTCTCAACCTTCCTAATGCCACTACTTCATAACTGTAATTTTGCTACTGTTATGAATCACAATGTAAATATCTAATATGCAGGATGTATTTTCATTCATTGGACCTAATTTGGCACAAATAACAACCAATACACCCAAATCTGAATACTGGTAGGGTTGGGGGGGGGGGGGGGGGGGGGGGGGGGGGTTATGTTATTTGGGAGTTGTAGTTGTTGGGATTTATAGTTTATCTACGACCAAAGAGCATTCTGAACTCCACCAACAATGGAATTGAACCAAACTTGGCACACAGAACTCCCATGACTAACAGAAAATACTGGAAGAGTTTGGTGGGCATTGACCTTGAGTTTTGGAGTTGCAGTTTACCTATATCCACTGTGGACTCAAACAGTGATGGATCTGGAACAAACTTGGCACAAATTCTCAATATTCCCAAATGTGAACACTGGTGGACTTTGGGGAAAATATACCTTGACATTTGGGAGTTGCAGTTGCTGGGATTTATGATTCATCTACAATCAAAAAGCATTCTGAACGATGGAACTGAACCAAACTTGGCACACAGAACTCCAATGACCAACAGAAAATACTGGAAGGATTTGGTGAGCATTGACCTTGAGTTTTGGAGTGATAGTTCACCTACATCCAGAGAGCAGGAGGAGGACTTTTAGTGGGAGGATTTGCTGTCTTTTTCCAAAAAGGAAGAGAAGGACAGGAGGAGAGGTCTTCAGCCTTCTCTCCCAAAGAGGTTCCTAAGACCATCAGGAATATGTGTCTTCTGATGGTCTTTGGTGACCCCTCTGAAACCCCCCTTGTGCCCCCCCCCCCAGGTTGGGAAACACTGCTCTAGAAAGTCATGCAAAAGCATACAGGAAAGAGACAGCAATGTCAATACCCCAATATGTGGACCCAAATTTCTTCCATGAGGCTCACCTGCAAAATGTGGTCCTGTGCTCCCTCCAAGGTGTTGGCACCTCCTGTTCCCAGTGAGGCTGTGAGCCCCAGGATTTGTGGCAAATTCTTCTGGCCTTTCAACTTGTGTTCCAAATAATGTTCCATAATCTTGTTGTAGGTGGTTTCTTTGTGTGTGTGATGACATTCGTCAATCACCAGTAAAGAGAAATCTGCATAAAAAGAGTCTAATTCTGCATTTGTTGTCATTGCTATTACCACTCTTAATAAATTAACACTGGACGTTTCAAGGAAAAGGCTCTCAGGGTGGCTTATGAGGACAAATTTCTGACAAAACAGACAATTATAAAACTCGATCAGAATAATCGGTGGCAGCAGCTAAACACAAAAGAGCATATAACTGACAGAGTTCAATAAAAAGAATAATGAAATATATTACAATAATGAAATAGATTAAAAAACCACTTAAAACTGTCAACACAAAGGGTCCAATTGAATTTACTGAGGAACAGAATTCCACATATGAGGTGCTACCAATGAATAGGCTTTGCTTCTATTTATTGTTAAAGTCATGGCTTTTAATAATGAACCAGAGAGTACAGAATTTCCAGTGTTGAGCATGAACATGTCTCAAACACTCTAATTAGGTTATTTGCCATTCTTCATAGCAAAGGGTGCATCTGCACTTCAGAATGAATGCAGCTTGGCCCCACTTTAACTGTTGTACTTCAATGCCCTGAGTCCCCTTCGGGGTGAGAAAGGTGGGATATAAATGTAGTAAATAAATAAATATTTTTATGTCCCCGAATTAAATAGCCCCTAGCAATTTCCCATTACGTTAAATTTACCCTTAACTATATGGGGCCATGTTAAACCCTGACTTCCATCTTTTGTCTTACTTCCACAATTCTCTTCAGATCCTTCATGCTGAATCCTAGACTGCATCTTCACTATGAAATTAATGCAGTTTGACTCTGCATTTACTGCTATGGCACAATGCTATGGGATCCTGAGAGTTGTAGTTTGGTGAGGAACTGCATTCATTGACAAAGAAGGCTACAACTACAGCTTTCATGATTCCATGGCATTGAACCATGGCAGTTAAAGTAGCATCAGCCTGCATTAATTCTACATTTTTGATCAGTGATGGGCAACCTTTTGAGCTTGGTGTGTCAAAATTTGCCAAAAGCCTGAGCATAACTTGGGTAGGTTGTCAACTTTGAGGGAAAAAAACCATAATTTTGCAATATTTATAGTTTAAATAAGAAAATATGTATATTCCATGCTGAGTTATGGAGTGAATAATGCTCAAACGTGCAGATGTTAAATTTGTAGAGCCTTTTACAAATTTAAGGATGGAATTAAATTGGCTCTTATAAGGTGTACTTCTCTGTATGCGGCCGCATGTGGCCGCGTGCCATCAAAAATAGCCATGCGTGTCAGTGCTGACACGCATGTCATAGGTTCACCATCACGGGTTTAGATGCACGATTTTATTTCCAATTTTTAATTCAGACGTAGCTTTGTCTCTACCTCCACCATCTTCATCCCAGGTATTGTCTCTTTGTTTCCATGATCTATCCAGTCAGTTGTACTTTTAGAAGTTCTTTTGCTTTCTTTGCCAAAGGGTTCAAGTGCTTTACCAAACTACAAACCCCAGGGTTCCATAGCATTGAGCCATGACAGTTAAACTGGTGGCAACCTGCATTCTTCAGTGTAGATGTGCCCATAGCTCACTTGAATCTCATGTTTACTTTTGCACAAGACAGCACATGTCTGGGACCTTTGGGAATAGAGGCTTAAGCATCATGGGAAACAGGGTGGAGTAGACAGCAGATTTGTCTGACGTTTCTCCCTTTTCTGTCTTTCTCTTCTGGTATGTGTATATGTGTGTGTGTGTGTGTGTGTGTGTGTGTGTGTGTGTGTGTGTGGCGGGGTGGGGGTGGGAAGAGATTTGTTTATAAATGCTAACAACTCTGCCAAGGTAAAAACACCCTCTGTTGTTGCACATATCAATTTCCTAGATTGAAATATAACTCCCTTGGACTCAAAGCACCATTGTCACTAAGCCTCCACTTTAGATACCCACCTGTCAGATCCACATGCATCTCCTCATCTTGGTTGTCGAGGGCATTTTGTAGAATCTTTGCTGTGCATATGATCAAGTCATTCCTTTTTACCACATCTGAGAAGATCATTTTCTGGACACTGTCACCGCTGATGGCTTCAATGTCAAAACGATTCTTCAGGAAGCTGAATTCATTCTTTATGTGCTGATCCACTAGAGGCACCTGGCAAGGGAAGAGTGCAGAACAGAAATACCTCCCATCATCAGGAACTGCTTGGTCTCCAGCTATT